GTAAAAAAAAAATTATTTTTTGAGACATGAGGTGCCAACTTCACAGAGGTCTTTGTTGCGCAGAATAACCGGCGCGATGTCTCGCTTTAACTCTCGTTAGGATGTATCTTTCGTAAGGATCGTGTTTGACACAACGTGCAGGTAGTGACACCTTTTCTCATGGAAATGGTGCTGGAGCCCAAGGTCCGGGACCACCGGTTCTTCTAATCTCGACGGTTCAGGTCGACGTATCTATCGGCAAACGATATCTTCGACGAAGCCTTCGCCGCCAGGATTCATCGAAAAGCCTCTATCGGTTCCAGATGGAAAAATCTCTCCTCTCTGTACATTTTTCCTGATGACCGTCTACCGTTTGCCGAGTGGATTATAGAACTCGTGACGTGGTCTATTGAGAAAATTCGTGGGTAATGACAGTTTTTCATCGGCAGTCTCAGCCTGAACGCGAAATCTCTGTTGCATCGAAGACGTGAATAACGTATTCCTTTCACGGACAGTTTATACATTTTAATAACTTTCCGTTAGAATCTTGCTTTGAAACTGTGTTTTTTCCCGTAATGAATATGCAACGCCTTATAGAAATTGCGGTACAAGTTTCTATAACGAAGTTCTAAGTGAGGTAACACGCAAGTAGCAGTGTTTACCTTGATCTTAATTTTAATTCCAAGTTCTATTAGTTTTCAACGAATATTTTTTTTCTCAAGCATCTTATTTTCACTGCGATTCTTTTTCTCTTAAAAAGGAAACTAATAAATGCTAAAATGTAGCATTTTTAGTGTAATTACAAATCGTTTATCGATTTGAATATGTGAATTTGCTGACGATAACAACTCCACCCGTAGAAAGCTGCGTTATGCCCGAAAAGAAACCGGCGCGCAGGACAAATGTGGAAAGAAACGGTACATGAATTCACATTTTAATAAATTACAAGTATAGGCTATCTACATCTTGTCCCAGACTCGCATTGGCCATTCTTGTGTGTTGTTTAAAAAGAAAAATCGCAGGCCCTTCGTTACAATTTCCCGACAAGTAATAACCAATATCTTGTCGCTGTTGAATCAGTATCTCCAGAAAATGGAGTTTACATACATCTAAATGGCTAACGAGATTTGTTAATTGCGTTTTGCACAATCGATTCACGGAAAGTCTTATCTGCTATCGTTTATATCTATCGGCGTTTAATATATTGCCTCGAAACGGATTTTTTTTCCAACCGAGAAGGCAATTCTCTATCATTATTCATTCGCCACACGGAGGGAATTTTTTCTTAATAAAATTTACCTGAAATCATATAATCGTCGGACAACGTCGGACAACGTGGCATTTTGAAGAATTTTATGAGTGTTTTGAAATTTTACCATACATTTTAAAGCGTACGGTAAAATTTCGAAGAAACTCCCACGTTGTCCCACGATGACGTGATTTTCAGGATAATTTTAAGATAAAATTCTCTCCATGTATGCAATTTATGTTAACTACTGTTTCAAAATTAAAGCATCGCGTCTCGAAGAATCGAGGATAATTGTGGACGAGGAAAAAATTGCTTTCGAAATTTTGTTAGCCATTTAGATACACGTAAACTTAATTTTTTGGAGATGCCGATTGGCGACAAGACTGGCCGACTTGTTGGGAAATTGTAAGAAAGTGCCTGCGATTTTCCATTTTGAGAGAAAAAGAATCGCAATCTAAATAAGGTACTGAATAAAAAAAACTTGATCGCAAAAATCACTTTGTGTCCCTTCATACACTTAGGCCTCGGAGAGAACGCATCAAGATTTTAGGTCTGCAGGACGTACTTGCGTCCCGCGATTCACGCGGATGTTATAATCGGCCGTGGGAAGGGACGGGGAATAAATGAGCGTGGTCCACGCCGGATATTTACCGGCATCGCGCGACAACAATATTTCATCGCCCGTGCGAGTCTTTATTAGCCGCTGCCGCGCCGCAGCAGCCGTCGCGTATATCGCGCCTCGTGTGCTGACGTACGCGCGTGTAGGTATGAACGGGCACGATAAGCCACGCTCTCGATTAACAGGCGCTGTCAAAACCTGACTCATCGCGGCACTCGCCGCCGACTAACTCGTCGTAACTTTTACCCAAATCGACCATCGATATTCGTGCCAAGACTCTCCCAATGGTCATTTTTAATTTATGCCCAACGTAAGCTCTGGGTAAACGAAGGGCATTTTCTCTTAAAATTCACTCTGAAAATCATGTAATCGTGGGATTTGGAACGTGGCATTTTGAAGAAATTTAGAAGAGTTTTTAGAAATTATACTAGTAAAATGTTTACAATAAGTAACTGTTACTAGTAAAGCATGGATTGCTTAAGAGGACCAATAAAGCTCGTATCGAACTATGAATTGAGATTGAGGTTGCATTTAACCAATTAGAGTAAAAGTTACTAAACTTGAGATTAGTAAACTTCACTGTGATTGGTCAAATTTCATTCTAATCCCAATCTCAATCCGTAGTCTGATACGGATCTTAAGGATGTAGAGTTTTAAGCCAACGGTACACGATATTAAGGGTAAAGTCTGATTGGGGCCCTCGTATAAGCAATTCAGTAGGCAAAATAGTATTGTGTGCCGTTGGCTTAACCAGTAAATGCTTACTAGTAAAATATATGGCAAAATTTCAAACAACTCTCGTAAAATTCTTCAATATGTCGCGTTTTTCCACGATTACATGATTTCCTGGATAAATTTTAAGAGAAAATTCCCTCTGTGCAGCTATCGTGGAGATGTTCGGAATGGATTCCGATCGGAATTATTTTGTTTTCCCTCGAAAACACACAATAGAGATCTAAGAAATAATTGTACAATTCCGATCATTTCCATGATAGATACCCAGAACAATCGAAGATGAAGACGAAGGTGAACGAAAGCGAGCGAGTGTGTTACTCGCGGAATTTTGGGCTCTTGGAATTTTGAGCGAGAACATGCATTTCGAAGTCGCAACGCGAAAAACGATAATGAGCATTAATAAGGAAATGACATTGAATGCGAAGATTATCTCAGAATAACGTTTATGCAATCGGTGCCTGGAACAACTACTTTTTCTTCAAATTATTCGATCTCGTAATGATTAATCCTGCTTGACCGGGACATTCATATTCGATATTTTTTACGATCATTATAAGTTTTCCCGAATATATTACGAAATGTTTTCAATGTATTCCGATTTGAATATCTGTGTAATAAGTGCAAATCAAGATAACGAAATTACTTGCGATATATCAGCGATGGAGGAACATAAATTCAATGCACGTGTTCATAGATTTTCTCCAAGGACACAAATGACTAGGTACAGCCATTTTTTACGTTTTCGCAATGTCTGTTAAACGTAGCTACAAGTTTTAATTTTCTTGCAACGATTATCATTAGAATATCGTCGCACCGTTATATTTACAAGACTTGGTTAGATGTGCCTGACGTAAGCTTGCCACGCGATGAAATTGTCCCGGTCTCACGTTTCTTCGATCCGCAGCGGTGAACGCAATAAGCATCACAGTTAGAAACATAATTTTGTTTACGATGTCAGGAAATTGATCGAGCTCGGCGTCGCTAATGGGATCCGCTCTTATTCGTTGCAGACGGTGCAGCATGGTTTCCCGAACAAGCCAACCGCTCTCGCCTGGGATCCGAGTCTGCGGCTGATGATCATCGGCACGGCATCCGGCGCCATCAAGGTGTATCCTTTTGCTTTTCTTGCCTCCCCGCCTCCGTCTACCTCACTTTCTTCCCGTTTGGTATTTATAATCTGGTCCCGAGGCGCAACCGCCAGGACTCGCGTATCGATCTATTGATCCTCGAGCGAAGCTTCGTTCCTCAGAAAGTGAAAATGCAACGAAAAGCTCGAACAGCCTGTTGTACAAAAATTGTTACGTTACCCCGGGCGAAATTTTTATATTGGACACGTTATATTTTGTTTTATTTCAAGCAACACTGTTTAGTTGCTTTAGTTAATTCACTAAACGTAAAATGAATGGTCTCTTTAACATGGAAAGCCGTAAATATCAGGTCGGCAGTAAATACTTGTTATGACCTTTTTTTATTGCTGCAATAGGAAAATCTGTTTCGTGGTGCCGTGGGCGATTGCTTAACAAAGACGCCATAAATCACTTGCGGTAATGTTTTATAAACCTGCACTCTGCCTAGAACAGGGCATTATTGAAGAAACATTAAGTCACGCTTAGAGCCCGCGACGGTGTTCGCGTGTAACAATCTCGCATTATGTGAACGCATTTGTTCCTAATTGAAGAATTCAACGCAACGGTCTTTCCAGCTTACTTTCTTTAACAGCCTGGGAAGGAAAATCGACCCGGGTTTACATTTCTCAATTCTAATTTTATCAACTCGCAGACCCGAGGTTCGACGACTGTCGCACTGAACTTGTCGATTAAGAGCAACCGCGTTTGCATAATGCAGGATTCAGTTGGGGATATCGATCGTTCGCGAAACTGCATATGCAGCGTTCGATCGAAATGTTCGACTTCGTAAGATTGCTGACTAATTTTATTACGTATTTATTCGAGGGGACACGATGTTTCGCAACTATTTTACGTTAAGATGATCGCTAATTGTCGAACGGTGCAAGGATTGAAGTTTCCGACCACTTGCGATATTAAGGTCGGCGCGAATTCGATTCTGCAATACTTTATTGCTCTCGTATCTCGACCTTGTCAACGTTTGCTTACTTCATATGCGCGCACAGGGATTCAGAAGACCCCAACTAGAAATTGCATTGTCGTTTGAAATTCTCGCCAGTTTGTAACTTTTCAAGATAATATAAAACGTAAATAGGAACGAAGCAATCGCGAATATCTATGTCGTTTGTCTGGATTATATTGTGTAATAAGTTTAGATTGGTTTTTCTGGTTTTTGCGTAGAGGCGCACAATTCAAGCTCCATTAATTTAGCGTAAATGGTTTCGCGCTAAGATTGGCTTTTTAGTATTGTCTATCGCTTGCACTTTTCGAATTTTGTTTTTAAAAGGAAGCTAAATAGCTTTGTTTTTTTTTACAATGATCTTTTTGTCAACGATATATGTTGCCAATTTGTTACGCTACAGTTAATAATTTACATTTTGGAAAGTTAATTTTTTAAAAATCTGCGACGCGACGCGCAATCAAAAGTTGATTACGATTTAGTACAGAAGAGAGTATAAAGAGAGAATTTATGAGGAGATCTACACAAGATCCAAGAATTAGCCTGTCGATTCGCGGAAATTTATGCGCTTTTTATTTCGTTGATGATGTTAGACGGGGATGTTAGATCGTGGCGAAATAATCACCGTGTCAGCGAGTTGGCAATTTAATGCCAGTTTAATACCGTAACCGCGCGCGCGCACTGTCGGCAGATGCCTCCAAGGACTACGTAATCGCCAGATAATCGTTATTATTTCGCAATAGATATACGTATACACGATTATCTGTACGGCACACCTCGTCGTTGCGTCGGTGAAACCTTCGGCCGAGCGCACGCGTTTTACAAGCGCCTCAACTATATTTGAACCTAATCGCGAACCTCTTGAATTCTTTCCGTAACTCGTGGCAGCTCGCGCCTTTATCTAGTTTTCCGTTTTTAGACTCGACGGCTTTCTACGAACCAGCAGGCTATCGCTGGAACGGGCTCGGATTGATTGGAAAATAGAAAGTTACGCACGAAATTATTTTAGCTAGAAAGAGCAGCAATTGTAAATTGCATCATTGCGGTTGCAGAAAATATTGATCGAAAGTAAAAAGTAGGTGACACCCTGCGCTAAATAGAGAATGCCGTGCAAAACACGAAATTTTTTAATTGGCGAGCAAAAAGTCTTTATTAATAAATACGTACAAAGATTGGAATTGGAAAGGCGATTTGGTAAAAACTTTATCAAACCATACAGACCCGTTTCTATCCAAACTTTGTATATATTTTTCAAACAGTACGCAAATTATTTTGTCAATAAAAATGCATGACGGAGTTCGTTACGAATATAATTTGACTTGATTTAAAAACTATAGAAAGTTTATATAAATTAAACCCTTTCTTTATTAACTTTGTTGAAATATACGTTTTTTCTTACCAGATATCCGGTAACAGGCTCTCATTGTCTTTTCTCTTTATTCCTAATTTTATAATTCTGGAGTCTGAATAAATTCTGGTATTTTTATAAACCTTTTCTGTTCTTTAAATATATAGTAACTTCAAGTTTTTACTTCGATTCGAATTATTGTCGTCTTCTAAAAAACTTGATTTAAGTGAATACTAGAAAATAAAATCCAGGCTAATTCTCCTTCAGAACTCATTGAGAGTAATTTGCGATTACGCAACTGTACATCGGCGTATTGACAGCCCAATAATATGCCAAATGGCATAATAAATTTGCGTCACTTCTCGTGCAGTTTACTATAGAATTCGCAAAGTGTGCGATAACGTTTACGCTCATGTATATTCGACAGCTGTTTCTTCGAATGATGACGTTCACCGTCAGCATATTAAGTCGACCATTCTCAAAATTCGAGAGTTGTAGACGCGGTTTGTTTCCGTGTCAGTGTCTCACATATTTATAATAGTGTATAATCTCCACGTTTTTTGAAATTCCTTGACTCAAACATCAGTTTTGGGAGACCAGGCGTAGAGTTTTATGGACAACATTCCGTCGAGAGCGGTGAGAATGCCGTCACAAAGATCGTCGCGCTGCCCAATGAGGTAAGATTGATTTAATTACGATTCACATTCGATAAGGAGTTGATTTACGTGTGTCGCATCGTGTGCATCTTTTACGTATTTATGTTCAAATTACTTGTGCGTTGTTGAGTGGTTTACGTGGAAAAGTGCTAACTCGCGGCAGTACCGTCAAAATCGCACGAATCGCGCCAACAGTAACGCGACACCGTGTTCCGCTTATACGGTTGCCAGCGGGTTGCATAATCCCGCGCGACACTGTACAATGTGCTCACGCACGCGTGTACTGATAAATAATACACGGGTGCAACGGCATGACGACGGTGCGTCGCAATTAATTCGGAATGCAATTAAAGCCACGACGTAACATGTGGGAGAGGAGACTTTCTTCGCGCTTCCGAATGCTCAATTGTCCGTTTACCGGCGCACACGCGGGTAAACGTTTAGCCGATGTCACGATAGTGTTAACGAAATTATCGTAATACGTGTTTCTCAATCGAGTATTTTTTAAAAACGTTTGAGAGGCTACTTATGACTTCGATGATAACATTGTTACACGTCCAAGAGGCTTACCATAACTGAGTTGACGATATGTTGAAGTAATTACGTGCGATAATCGTGGACCCGGTTCGTGAATTTTGTATAAAGACGATAACTTGCATTATATAATTTTTTATAATATTGCCCGATTTAGGCGTGGCTTTTAATTGAATCGCGCTTTTGGTTTTACGATCGCACAACGCGACACGAGCATGGAACGTTCGTTATCACGATAAGCGGTACCGAGTAAATCTCCAGGCCGATAAGATAGCAGCTAGTCTATGATAGAGATCTAATATTACTTTTTTTTAAATTTATAATTCGATCTATTTGCCTTGGCTGGTCCTTTGTAATTAATTTTGAATTGTTTCCATTACGCGGTGATTGAGAATTTTCATGTCAAAAACAAAAGGGTCGCTTGGGAAAGAAACGAGTAGTCCTCGAGTGAGAAGTGAATGCAAGTGAACGATTCGTTGTTCGATTTTACGTTTGCTGTGAATTTTCGCTTTGTGCGTGCCAGTTGCAAAGTGGGGAAGGTACGAGAGTTGAGACGTCGTGAAAGATCTCGAGATTATGCGAGTATTTTCTCCGTGTAATAATAGTGATAGGAGAGGCCGGGCACAGCCGCCGCTGATCTTATTGCGGGGCGTTTTATTACTTCCGCTATGTCAGAAACACACGCTGGCTTTCTAAGATAAAAACCGTTGTTAAAACTTGCCGTCGAATAATATATTAAATATAAGTGCACACGAAGGAGAGAAAGTTTGGAGCATCTCTATTAAGTAATATTCTTAAAAGCCAAAGGAAAGATATTTCCGAGGATGCTTTTTGTATGGAATGCAACACTTTTTCGTTCCGACAAATTTCCTGATCCGTTTGGTGTCGTAATTTGCAGGGTCGCGTGGTGTCCTTGTGCGACGACAATTCGTTACATCTATGGGAGATTAACGAAAGTTCCGTGGTGGAAACGAAGACGTTGTCGTTAGAAGGGAAATTAAAGAAGATCTCTGCGATGTGTCTCGAATCTAGCGGGGAACATCTCTTGTTAGGAACGGAAGGAGGCAACATCTACTTGCTAAACTTGAAGACTTTCGTCACCCCGGAGAATATCATCTATCAAGACGTCGTGATGCAGAAGTAAATAATTACGTTATCTATCTTTAGCTTTAATTTGACCTAAGTTTTTTTGTTATCTTCCATATTCGATCTAAATGCCAACAAGATTGTGAAAAGCGTTTCGTCTGTCATTAATCTTGTAGACTAGACTTTATTGTCGCTATTCTACGAGATAAATCATAAAAATTTGATCGTTTTGATTATCTCTATTAAAAATAGCAAAAAGCTGAAAAAGTAATATTTGAAGAAATAGAATGTAACAACCTTAGATCTCGAACGGAAAATTATTCAAGGCCAGAAAGGAGAGTAGGATCATTAAACTGTTTTTGTCGCACAGCGTCCCGGAAGACTACAAGAAAAATCCAGGGGCGGTCGAAGCCATAGCCGAGCAGCCAGGGCATCCAGACAACATCCTGATCGGCTATAACCGAGGTTTGATGGTACTGTGGAACAAAGCCACTCCAGGAGCTCAGCAGGTAAGCCTCATATTCGTTACCTCTCTACGCATACACAATTACACTTTGGCAAATGCAATAGTCACACGTTGTAACGCTTACATGCTTTTTTCGCAAAACAATACAGTGTGGGTCAATGTTTAATCCTGCTAGCCCATTTCTAATACACTGATCAATCCTGAGTTCAAATCAATGTTTATATTTCGTGTTCATTTTATATTTCTCAATGTGGTTCTTCATCTTATTTTATAAAAAAAATACATACTTAAGAATAGAAAAAGCACTGATGAATCCATGAAGTTAAAAAATGTTAGACTATTGACTGAAAACTATGCAGCTTTTAACTTTTTTTTTATAGAGTTATATGACTTACATTAATATCTTTACTCTGGAAAGTTTTTCCGTGAAATGAATTGAGAGTACAATCGGCCCTAATTGAGTAATTTTTCGTTATGCACAAAGCTATGGAGTCTTGAAAATGATGTAATTAATTAAAATAGAATGGAATGGAACAGCAGGGTTAAGAACGAATTGTGAGATGGTATCGCTCGTTCTGATTGTCGTTTGTGTCTTTGGTGGTCTTTGGTGGAACGTGTACGCGCAGCTGATGGGTTTGTTTTCGCGTGCGCAGACATTCGTCTCCACGCAACAGCTGGAATCGGTTCACTGGATCTCCGAGAACCGCTTCGTCTCGTCGCACAACGACGGTTCCTACGCGTTCTGGAGCCCGGGTAGCGACGCCGTGCCGGATCCCACGACACTTTACGGGCCGTTCCCGTGCAAGGCCGTCACCAAGATCTTCGTATATCCTACTGCGGAGTAAGTCGGCTTCGGGATTGCGTATCGCCCTATCTTATTTCCTCACAAATTCAACTGAGCTTTTCCGCAGACACGGCGAGCTCGTGCTATTCTCTGGTGGTATGCAACGCGCCAGTTATGGAGACCGACATACGATCACTGTCATGGCCAAGGAGAAGCATTTAGTTTTCGATTTCACGTCTAAGATCATCGACTTTTTCACCGTCTTCCCTAAGGAAGAGGAAGGCAACAATGAGAGCCCTGCCGGTCCGGAAGCGCTTATAGTGTTGGCCGAGGAAGAATTGGTGGCCATCGATTTGACCAATCCCGAGTGGAAGATGATGGCTCTGCCCTACCTGGTGTCTCTCCATGCGAGCTCGGTGAGTATTCTAAAATAAAAACAAAATTGTGATAGATGAACAATATAAATTCTTTCATACCGCAGGTGACTTGTTCCCAACACGTGCCTAATGTACCCGAGGAACTCTGGGAAGCGATCATGGCGGCCGGTAAAGCACAGACCGAGCATCTTTATTCGGACAAACCGTGGCCCATCGACGGTGGCAATATCCTCTGCCAGAAGCCGGCGAATCCTGACAAGCCTAGAAACAGAGAACTGCTGCTTACCGGACACGAGGACGGTACCGTCAGGTTCTGGAACGCGTCCGACGTCGCTCTGACCCCTCTGTACAAGTACAACTCGTCGATTCTGTTCACCGGCGAGCACTTAGACGTTCTCGAACAGCCTCCGGAGGATGACGAGGATGAATGGCCACCGTTTAAAAAGGTGGGAATCTTCGATCCATATTCCGACGATCCGCGACTCGCTGTGAAGAAGGTCCTCCTCTGCCCGCTGTCTTCGACGTTGGTGATCGCCGGTACAGCCGGGCATATTATCACCGCTATCATATCCTCGGAACCGACCAACAAGGAGATAAAGGTCGTAACAATGAACATCGTCAACGATCGCGACGGATTCGTGTGGAAGGGTCACGAGCATCTGTCGCCGAGAACGACGAGTATATCGTTCGCTGTCGGATTTCAACCGCAGGGCCTCTTACAATTGTACCCACCGGCCGCCGTCACGGCGTTAGCGTTGCACAGCGAATGGGGATTACTCGCAGCCGGCACAGCGCACGGACTCGCACTCTTTGATTACACCAGATCGAAAGCCGTCAGTGTCAAATGCACGCTTAATCCAAATGGTATGTTAATGCTGCAATAAAACGAGGCAATTTTTTTCAGCTTCCAGTACAACTTGGGCATCGAAAGGTGTTTTATTTCACAAGTTTTACTTTAAAGTTTTACTTCAGCTTTCTCCATGTAGCTTTATAAAGCTATGTGAGAATAGAATGAAATATTCGAATATTTCTATGGATATTTAAAACGAGCATTTCTGTTTGAAGTGTTTTTTTTTATGATCTGATCAAAGTTTCGTAAATAAAAATTACTATTTTATTTCACAGATCTTTCTGGTGCAGGTGACACTCCTATTTCTCGACGAAAGTCTTTCAAAAAATCCCTTAGAGAATCTTTCAGAAGATTGAGAAAAGGACGTTCGCAACGTCGAGCAAACGCCAACAGTCCTACGCGAAATAACCCGCCGGAGAAAAAGAAAGAGAGGTGAGTTTAACAATTAGATGCAAATGCGAATGGAAGCAATGTGTAATTATTAAACTTTAATCCCAGCGTTGCCTCTTCGCCGAGTGGCGATCCATCACCGACGGAAGTAAAACCGGTAGAAAGACAAGTGGAAGCGAGACCTGTTGACGACGCTCTAGGCTCTATGGTTCGGTGCTTGTACTTCGCCAGAAGTTACATTATTAGCCGTTAGTATATCTATTTTTTGTTAAGTAAAATATCAGACCACAGAAGTGAACGAAAATGCTTGTTTGCAGTACAAAACACAACACCTACACTTTGGGCGGGCACCAACAACGGCACGGTTTATGTCTTCACGTTGGCCATACCGGCCGGCGTGAGAAGAACGGAGGAAGACGTCAACTGTACGCTGGGCAAGGAGATACAGTTGAAGCATCGAGCGCCCGTAATCGCGATTACGATCCTCGATGGATCCAGCGTGCCGCTGCCGGAGCCCTACGAGGCCGAGAAGGGCGTGACGCCCGGACCCGATATGACTTCCACGCACAGAGTCGTGATTGCCAGCGAGGAGCAATTCAAAATTTTCAATCTTCCGTCCCTGAAGCCGTATTGCAAGTACAAATTGACCGCTCACGAGGGATCCAGGGTGCGAAAAACGGGTTTTGCCAAGTTCTCCTGTCACGTCGAGCCCGCTGGAGTTCACGAGGAAACTTGCTTGCTTTGCCTAACGAATCTTGGCGATTGTCTAATATTGAGTATACCTGAACTGAGAAGACAGTTGAATGCCGCTGCGATCAAGAGAGAGGACATTAAGTCAGTATTTGTTTTTTTTTGTACCTCGTATCTTAATTGTAAACGTTTGCGAATTCATTATGTGTGTCTTTTGTCTTTCAGTGGTATTTCTTCTCTAATATTTACGAAAGCCGGAGAAGCGCTGTATCTTCACTCGAGTTCGGAACTCCAACGAATTTCCCTGTCAGCCTCGAAGATGACAAAGGCGCATTGTGTGCTAAATCTACCACCGCACGCTAGATCGTACGCAGAAAGTGCTAACGAGGTCGCGCAGGAGCAAGGCGTTGTCGAAGGTGCGCCGGAAACCGAAGGGGAGACACAGGGAAGTCAACCGTCGACAGTGACGAACAGAATTATTACGGAAAATGGCATAGTGGGTGCCAGTAAGTGTTGAAATCCCTCCGCTATCTTGACACGAATAATCTAAAGCCAGTGGATTTAGTTACAACTCTCGGGCCCGATTCTCTGGTCGTTTTTTAAGCAAAGCGCGTTGTGTCTCAATTCTGATGTATTAGACGACTCGATTAAGACGCGAACGAGAAGGGACAGCGAGTATCGATGTGAAAATAAAATCGACAGTTTTAACTAAATCCGACCGTTGGTTCAAAGAGAGACAAACGAAATTGTTTAACATACCGCAGCAGAATACGCCACCGGCTTCTGTGCAAACGTGATTGCGAATATGTAACTGCTTGACATACTTTGTATAACCCGCATATACATGTGCGCTTACCTACGTGTTCTGATCCTAGTCATAACTGAACCATTACTACCATTTGTGTTAATTAACGAGACAGTAGAGAATGTTGTTATTCGTAATAGTGCCGTTTAGTGTCGATGTGAACGCATGTCTTTTAGCTGGAGAGGAGGAATCTCCGAAGGAACCGTCGCTGCGACCGGCTACGAGTAGTATAGATGTAAACGGGGAAGATGACCGTCAGGATTTAAGTTCTATCGGAGATATTACGATCGACAGTGTTAAAGATCATTTGCTGTAAGTTCAGTTGACACATTATCAGATATTTTATCTAATTTATCATTTGCTTTTGGTTATCCTGCAATCGTACGAGTTGAGTGAATTATAATGTTTAGTTAACATCACTTCACGTACATACGTATATATTTAATTTGTGCAAACTATATCGAACGCATCACGTGGCTTGATCATTTATTTCGCCGCTACGTTAATTAATTTCATTAATTAACTAGCATTCGATGTACTTGCCAATTTTTTGGCAGTAACAGCCCACTTTTCAGAAACTCGACGTCTTCCGAAGAGCTCCACAATCGTTTGGCAGGACTTAAGATGGAGGTGACCTCACGAACTTCCGAGATATCCACTCAAAATCAGTCGCTGGTGGTGAAAACGACCACCGTGGTTACGCAAACCACGAATAGCACGACTGCTAACGGCGAGGTCGAGATGAGTCAGGCGAACGAAACGCAACACGTAAACAGTGAGTGAAATCGCAATCAATCTAGATCTGTGAAGCGACTATTCTGCAATTTAGATCTTGCCATCTGATCATTGGACTGTCAGATTGACGTTTCGCAAAGAGATTGATCTTTGAGTTACACTTGCGAAAGCTTCTTACGCGAACGGTTTAATTGCGTGAGTAATCGAGTATTTTCTAGGTCAACAAATTTCACTGATTTTCCAGGATCACTAATCGACGGACACGACGAATTACGATTCATTGTACAGTTAATCCACATTTTGTCTTCGTCTACTGACGCTTCTGATAATTTTCGTTTCGTTTTGTTTCGTTTCGTTTCGTTTCTCTCGCCCTTATTTGTATTCATTATTTTTTTAATCGTTTTTTGTTTGTGGCGTTTGTTTTCTTGCGTAGGCACTACGGTAGAGCGAGAGACACGCAGTGGTGTCGAGACAACAACGACACACGCCACCATCACTCTGCCCCCGAATGTCGAGGTCAGCAAACGGCACTGAATATAATTACAATTAATTGGTGGCGGCCGTTACACCTCGATATTAATCTCACGTTGATGCTTTAATTTACACTTCATTAGCCACTTGGTCTTTCGCTACTAAGTGCACCAGCTTTCCATTCATTTATTTCTGTTAATTCCCCGCTCCTCCTTTCATGCGATAATCATTAACAAACTGACTAACAACATTAAAAGCGTGAATGTAAAGCGTTTTATTTTATTACTAACTGGGTAGATCCTTTTCCACTAAGAAATGTCTCGAGCGGTCAACAATAAATGTTTACATATTACAGATTAATGCCGCGGATCTGGCCAATTTGGAGGTCACTACGACAACAGTGACCACTACTACAGAAAGGTCCAAGGCGCCATTGGCTAGGCCAGAGGAGGTCGGATCATAGGCCTGTTCCATATCGGTTTTCCATGCTGACCGTGCATGGAACGAAACGATTTATTATTCCCTACTGTATTCAGTGAAATAGCTCTTGGAATTGACTTGGGAATCAATGATTTTTAACGAAAATAGGCCTACAAAATATTTATCATGGTATGCCGTGATATAAGAAATCCTCATTGTGCTTTTTTTTTACAGAAGAAATTTTAACATTTTTATTAATTGATAATTCGAGATAAGGCAGTTTTATGGAAGAGTATCATATCAAAATATCCGATTTTCGAATGAATTAAAATGGTTTTCGTCACGAGGATATCTATCCGTTTTGCATGGCCGAGATTTTTATTTTTCCAAAATTAATTTAATATGAGTCTGGTGCATGCTGTATAATCAGCATAATAGTAGACTTAAAAAAAAGATAGTTTACCGAGAGATGAAAGGGAGAATGATGAAACATCACAAACCATGAATTATGGCAGCCTTAAACCTACCGTTATTTTATATATTTTTAATTATTAAAGACACGCGCGCGACACCCGCAGTATTCGCAGTATTTGAAACGATTCGAGCGTCTTGTTATAGCTTTTCGCCAGCAAAGGTGCGATATAAAGATGCTTCGAACAATAAAAAGAAAGAATGTAGCTACTTAAGTAGAATTATATTTGACGGGCAAGCGAGGAGATTAAGCATAGCAAATTCGAGGGGGGAAACATCTGTCGATGGCCGTGACGTCGAGAGAGATGCGTTGAAAAGTATATTTTTTATCAATGTTGCTTAATCGTTAAGTTTCCTCTCTCTTCGCGTTACCGAGGAGCATATCGCCGAATTTTCGAGAGAATCCTCGAATACTCGGGAGCGCTTAACGTACTACATAAATACCGACATAGTTACTTTATTGTTGCATTTATCGGCAGTCTTTTTTTTTTTTAGATGAAATAGTCACATGGATAGTTTTCAGCGATGAACTATTGTTGCAAGATACATTTCTTGATACTTTATCAATTTTTAGAAACATACCACATATATATACATATATGTGTATATTATAGTTTCTTTTTCGCAGCAAATTTATATGTTTCGTAGCTTGTCTTTTTACGGCGGGAGTACCGATTATATTGAATATTTTATAATTTTGATCTCAGTAGGATTGTCACGAGAATGATGATTCATATTCCGGAAACTGCAGTTTTCCTTAACCACACACATGCGCCGATTATCTCTTACGATAAAAAAATGAATTTAAAGTGCAGACAGACTGAAAGAGATGTAACCCTCCTATCGATTCGTATTTTTGCATTAATTTTCCTTTACACGGATGACACGATCGATTTTTTAATTTAAATTGATGAATATTTTAACTCTAAATATATATATTGACGATAACATCGATTATCCTTAGCGTGATAAGTTTTAATCTTTGTAGATAAGTTTTTTTAATGTCCTCTAAATTTATCTTACAATTTTATTGGCAAATCTATATTGAGCTTATTTTAATCTTTGAAGCGTAATATATTGTCACATCTCGCACATGTGAGTGTATGTGTGTGTGTGTGCGCGCGCTTGAAAAGAAAGGAGATGTATCTACGTGTTGAAGACAGATTTTAATTTTTATCGCTAAGTATAAAGTGCTATTAACGGTTCTTCAGTTTATCGAATCGACGCCGAGCTTGCTGAGATACTCGCACTCGTAAACAGTGTAAATTGTTTTTTACTTTGATAAAGTAATGTATAGTGTACACAGAATGAAATTGAAACACTGCCCCCGAAACTTTTTCCTATCCGACACTGTTAAATACCGATTGTAACAATGTCATATATTGAATGCCTATTACGATGAAATATACAAGTAATTATTAATATCTTTTCTATTTCAAATCGTGCTATATTGTTTATTCTCCTAGATCACCTTCTGGCTTTCCTTTTATGTCGCTTGATCTACGATTTGTGATAGAATAGCATATTTTAAAGATAATACAAACTATAATCTATCTCTCTTAAGTAATTAATCTCTTTCCAGTGCTTGTAATGGCTGAAGTATGTTTATAAATAATCTGATTTTTAGTTTGCTTTCGTGCCATGGCAATAAAATCATATTGCAAATTTCACTAATGTACAAGATTTATATATGCAATTTACATATTATAACATATTCCTGCTATATAATTTTCTAAAAGGAAGAATATTCCTTCACAATCTATTTCCTTACCATCAATACCTCTTGACGATTTATGGATCTGAAATCCAGAAGAACATATTTTGTATTAACTGCACGTGGTTCTGAAATTACTGTAGCGTTTTACTAAAGCAATAAGCAAGTTATTAAAGCAGGAAATAAATAGTCGCTTATAAAAAAAATTATACCGATAATTGCTGCTGTGAAAGTAGTTTTATTGACTGCGGTGAGGAAACAAAATGCGTTAAGTGCGTGAATTACATCAAGCTGCAGATACTAGCTTCAGAATAGTCGTCTAGGTTTTTTATTATGTAAGCGATCGCGGAGTGTTTAGACGCTTTAAAAATAATAATTTTGATGTTGACGAAAAAGCATAATATATAAAATCATGTATATAAAGTTACTGAATATTTTCTAAAAAAGAGTAGATATTCTCGATCGGATTAAGGAAAACTGTGACCGAGTGCTTAATTTTCTCCCCGTGGGGATAAAATTGATTCTAGGTAACTATTCTTGAGTTAATCAAGGGAACAGTAAGCAAGGCATCGTCGAAGCAAAAAGCAATAAGCGGAGCTAGACGTATGCAAAAGCCGCGCTGAAGCACGAAGCATTACATTAACATTTATTTAAATTTACCCAAATAGTAACTCTTTAAATACTGCTCCGCGTGGAGTATCTCCTCGCATGGATGTTCACTAACTTCCCTGTGTAATATACCGAGTACGGCCTTCACTGCATCGATGTCGTACATATTTGCGAGCAATCTCTCTCTGAAAGGCCTCAGTTTTTCTACAAGTTGCTTATCCTTGGAGATAGATCCGATGTGATGTTGCAGAACCTCATTATACATCGGCCAGTCGTTCGTGCATGCCGGACAATCGCAATCAAGAAAGTAATCCTGCAGTATCTTGTGTTTCCTCTCGGATCGTGGCATGAGCGCGTAAACGCCGCCGTAGCTTGTGAATATTTGATCCCCAGGGCGTACAGGTGTCAAGGCACGCGTGATCATTGTCAGTCCCTCGAAATGTCGGAAAGTATTTGGCGCGCAAGAATGATTATACAGGCTGTGAGCCACATACAGGCCTGAACCCGACACAATTCCAGGTTCTTGTTGTATCTATAAGATTAAATGTATAATTATACATAAAAGCAACACAAAATGTCACAATAACTTTGGTTTAAGAACTTTTTTTAGATAAATAACTGAGTATGTACATTTAAACTATAAACTATATATATATGTTTGCATATTTTCAGAGCTACAGAAAGAATATATTTAATTAACGTTTGATAATAAATACGTAATAGGCTCAGAATTGCGAACTCACTGAGAAGCAATTAGACGACATTACCACGCAGGCACGAAACATAATACTCGCGCAAAACTTGAGCTCGGAAAACTCGCCGATGTCTTTCAAGTCGTCAATCTTGTATTTCTTGGGGAAAAATTTTGTCTGCGTGGCTAGAAGAATTCCCGCGAGCGCCGAGATGCAGGCGAACGCGCTGATGCCGATGAGCGGTCTCGTGGTCATATTGGTTGCCAGGCTCAGCGCGGACCGGCCGCTAAAGCTGTCTAATATCCCAGTGTCTGTAAATCCTGCCGTTCTATTGTCTGCAATAGAAAGGATCAAAGGGGCCGTTACGCGATTATTGATCCAATTGCGCTATTTTTTAAATACGATGTAGTACGCGCACCTGAATTAGATTCCGCCGTTTTCATGTCTTGCTGCAGTTGGTCGATTTTGGTCCCGTTCTCGGTCACCACGATCAGCAATCGAATGATCTTGGAAATCATTCGTATTTTATCCTTGTCCACATTGAGCAAGTTCGTCAACAGCTTTAGAATTGGGCATTCCGTCACGTGGCATGCTTCCCAGGCCAGCTTCCTGCAATTCTCGGAACAATACTGCGCTATCGGGCATTCTGGGCACGGTATTAGATTGTAGCTTCTGGATAGGCAATAGTGACAATGCGTGTAATACCTGTGAACAACGAGAGCGTGAGCTTACTGCGAGCGAGTTAAGGGCGGAAACGCAGTCGCGCGAAATCACGGGGGAAAACTATCTTTGCATTCTTTTTTTCTTCGTAGGTCAACATGTTCAAATCATATCTTTTTTATTCTTTCTCTCACGTGGTTGACTACATTTCAAATTATATTCTATTTGAAGGCAGAAAGACTGCAGATTGCATACAGGAACTGATGTATTCGACATGTTGCCAGCATGTCAGCAGAAATACAACAAAATCTGCCCACATAACTGGACCTGTTCGGTTTCTGCCGACAATCTCTGCGTGTGTTTTACAGACTCTTTTGCCGAAACAAAAGCCAAATGCGAACACGGATGGCTATAGTTTTGGTGTGGGTTTCTGACGAATCTGCTGCCAATCTGCTAACATTTTACTGTTTCATACTACTTTGTCCCTTGAAGTAATTAAAGGACATTGTCTTAAATATTTAAATTTTACGCTAGAGTAAGGATTCATTGTTGAATTTCAAAGTGTGCGTCTTTCCGTTCTCACTGGTTCAATCAGCGGCTCACCGTTCTTCGTAGATAACATGTGCATACGGATCTTCGATGCTGACTATGTCGCCGGGTTTAAATTCCCGTGTCGCCACGTAGTGCCTGCCGTATCTCTCCGAGAAAGATATCGCTACGCCGTCGCTGACCGCGGGAACTTCTCGGCTCGGGCCGTACGTCAACTTGGAGAAATCCTCCTGCTGCAAGTACCGCGGCTTCTGCGGCGGGATCTTCGCAACGTAATGAAGATAATTTTCGTTCGCTGTCGCGCCCTGCTTCTTCGAACTCCCTTGACCGTTTTCCACCGCCGTCGTTCCGTCGCCTATGCGCTCGTCGTTTTCCGACTTTGCAGTTCTCTGATGATCGACATCCTCCGAGTCTTCCAGCTGCAGCAACCGTTTTATCTCCGTTATCGCTTTATCGCCCCTGTCCTTCAGGTTCCTCTGCTTTGCCTTGGGATATCCGTGAGACAGAGCCGCGTCGATGTCTATGAGGCATTCCTTGTACAATTGTTTCCTGTATAAAGCGGCGGAACGGTTCGCGTGTGCATGTGCCATGAGTTCATCGCTGTCGGCATATGCCAGGCTCAGGGTGTAACACTCGATGGCTTCCAGGTCGTCGCCCATCACAAAATGTTGATTACCTGAAAATTCGTTCGTTGGAATTAGACGGACGCATGGTAACGTTGACTATTCGAGAAAGATCAAATACGCACCTTCCTCTCTGTATCTAACGGAGTCCTCCTCGTTTTTCGTTACAGCGTGCAGAGAAGGCATCTGGGATCTGACCATATTCTGCAAGATATGCCCGACGAGAGCCTCGCACTCCTTTTGCAATCCGTATCCAACGTGCGACTTATTATTTTGCTTGAGGGTGAATACAAGTTCCTTCGCTATCTCCATTTCTAGATACTTTAAGGTGATGTAATATACTTGGAAAATATTAGGCGGAATCCTTCTTTTTCTCGTATCCCAGATTTACCACTTAATATACATTAAATGCATAACGTAACTTACATAACAATGTAAAATTTAACAAACATCAAATAACGAAAAAAAAGTTCAACTTCCTTCTTTCGGAACTTACTCACGTGATTTTTTACTTAAATGCCACTGAAGTTTTTGTACTTGTAACTGAGATTTTAATTCTTTATTTTTATCTTTGATGTATTAAAAGTTGTAAGATGTATATTTTGTGTAAACGTGATGATTATTTTACGATGTTCGAAGTTGACCTTAGGCAGTAACTGAATTAAGCCATGGTAGAGCATGTACTGGGAACATTGAAGCCGGTGAAACTAAATTTACCTCAGGCCGGCTGACAGAAAAAGACTACGCTGTGCACGGAGTTACTTGGGCATTCATTGTACGCAAACGAGTGACGGAAAGTAAAAACGCACATAAAAAAAATTTCTCATACAAGTATCGCATTTACTTGCCGTCGTATAATTGAGTTTTTATTTTAGTAGAGTTTAATTATAAAAATATATTTGCGTGATATCTCTCTTTCCCAATGATTTAATTCGACCAGAAGTTTTGTTACTATTTTTAGTCTTGAAACTAATTTTTCGCTTAAATCCGCATTTGGATGTCTTAATATTCTAATTGCATAAATATTAATACATATATTAGATAATTATTTATTTTACATTTCTATTTCTTTTAAATAACAATTTTTTAATATGCTGTTTATATGTCACGTTAATACATAATTATTATAGCATTATCATGTAATTAAGGCTACAGCAATTACCGTAACAGTTTAAATAACGAATAATTATTTAAGAAATTGATATGTGTAATAATAAAAAAGTTATATTTTTCCAGAAAATGCAATAAAATAAGAAATTATTTACTAAATGTGTTTCCAATCGTATTACGGCTAATTGGCAATTATCCAAATATCAGTTGCACCTTATGCAAAATTTAGTCTGTGTTACTTAATCTTTAGGCTCAGTTCCATTGATAATTTTAGTTAATTAGCTTTCGCAACGCTGCGATCAGTTCTGTTACTAATCAGTATTTATAAAACTTATCTTTTATTTATTTTTAATGCAGATAATAATTAGCTTGAAAAGTTCTTATTACATTTTGTTGTTAATTCTCAAGCTCGGCACTTGGCATATATTTAAATAAATAATTTTTCATTATTCTTGTCCATTAATTTGGCAAATCTATATAAAGATATTATTTGGTGTGAAAAATGCTTACTAGACAATACTAACTAGCCCTTTAGGATGACAAAAGAGTATCAATATGTAGCAATTAAAATGGTTACCGGAAATATGTAACAAACATTTGGAAATCTATAAATTATTATAATCTGTATCCCAGTCGGATTCTAGATGAACTGTAACTGTAATGTAACTCGAAAATCCTGAATCAAGAAGAGAATATCGAATAACGAAGAGAAAAGGCTTTATTTGTTATATATTTGCAAAAAATATTTTATAAATCATATTTTAGATTACACTCCTCTATAGAGAAATTACGGAGAAATATTGCGATATAAATCTATAAAAAAAAATTTTTTATTATCATTTTAATGAACAAAATTGCATCGGCAAGTATTAATATTAATAATGCAATAAGTGTATTTCTAACATTAAATATATAATAAATGTTTCAATGAGAAAAAGATATTAATCCGATTCTTCGGATTCCAAATTTATACGGCTACCAAACTTTGCGTACAACTGTGTTTTTAATTCGGTCATGATAGTCTTCAAATCTGCACACTTGGTCTCTAATCTCGTAATCTCCTCCTCTTTCTTACTTTTAGCATCTTCCAAGGAGCTCTAAAAAAAAGAAGCTTTTGTTAATACTGATTAGGTAGCCAAAGCATGAATAAAAATAGTGCTGTCCGAGATTTGTATTTTGCTTTGGCATTGCGTTCAGACTTTTTTTTTACGGAGATAGAAAAAGAAACGCAATAGGTCTAAAATGTCGATACAAGTCAAAGACCAGCCGAGAATTACACATCTTGGAAAGCACCAATTTAAAATATTTATGTAGAACTTCTGACACAGATGGTGCCAAGAAGCATTGCAACTGTAACTAGTGCCGTTTAATCACCTCCACCTTCTTCAAGCTGTGATAGATAAACACTTCTCCGATAAAATATGGTATTTTTGCATCGTCGTCCACAAAAGCCAGTTCGTCGGAGGCGTCCTCCAAATTCGTTAACTCGTTCTGCAAATAGAGTTGATCGTGCATGATGTGTGCGTATAAAAATTTGCATGGCCAAATAAGGTCAACAATGAGAAAGAACCAGTCTTCAATTCTTTTGTACTAAAATTATTTGAATTACCTGTTTTACTCTAAGTTCCTCCTTGTAATCCTCCAATTTGGCATTTTGCCTCGCAAACTTATTAATCTTCTGTTGTTCCTCGTAAGTGATATGAACGTCGGAATCCTTGCGAAACGTCACGAGAAAGGTTAGATTGCAAATGTACAAAGCAATATCGCCACCACTAATCTCAACTATTTCCTATAATATTGTTTTACCGGCTGAAATCCAGTCTGACTGTTTTTCCCTCCTGCCATATTTATATTCTTCTATAATCGGCTTAATTGTTGCATCAAAATAATTGTTCACACAAATTGCGTGGGAGGTCGAATTCGAAACTGTGTGTCTCTCGAGAAGTCATGGGTGTGCGGTAACGCCATCTGGAATTGGTACAACTAAAGCCTATCACACAATGCGAGGCAACAGGCAACAGGAATAGGAAATAGAATTTTTGACGCATTGGATTCGTCGGAATTTTCTTCCAACAAATTCAACGCGTCCAGAAATTCTATTCCCTGTTCCTGTTGCCTGGCAATGTGTTTGGGCCATCAAAGCAACATAACGTATTTTCATGTGCCTTAAGGCCTGTGTCCACGATCCCAGGGGCTCGATTCTGGAATTTGTTCGAAGGAGAAACGTATGCGAAAATTCTGCTCTTACAGAAAAGTTGCCAGTTGATTGGCTATTCGCATTGCTTTAACCAATTGACTTTCAACTTTTCTGTCAGAGCAGAATATTCGTATACGTTTCTTCTTGGAATAAATTGAAGAATCGAGCCCCTGAACTTGCTTCAGTTCAGTCCAGTTCTAGTTTTGAGAAGTGTGTAGCCAATAAACTTGCAGCTATTCCATAAAAGCTGCAAGTTGATTGGCTACACATTTCTCGGAACTGGGAGCAAGTAATTAGAATACAATTACATTATTCTTAACAGCTATTATTAAGAATAAACACAATATGGAATAACGTAATTAACAAACTCCTGTGTTCTTTGTTATTAGTTTCTTTATATGGTAAAGTTGTCATAATTATACACAACGTTTAAAAAATAACATTAATTCCTTTTCCTATTTTGAAATGTAAAGCTCAATGATGGCGCTTTAGATTTTCGAGTTTCTGGTGCATTTGTCACATCGGTCACATCTGTCAGATCTGTCACACCAGATCTGTGCAGTTTGGATAGCAACATGTGTTGTCTGTGTGGTTTCAATTTCCTGGCTGGCACGTTCGTCAATGCCTTCTTCCAATCCCCCGTGTGTCTAAGATCCAACATTACCATGATCGTTTGGTCAATCGTGAGACACTTGGACGAGCTGGCACCCCAATCGAGGTAGCTGTCTATAGGAAATCTCGCCATACGGATACCTTCCCTCTTAGCCTTCGCCATAGATAACGGCTGTGAGTCGGCCTGTAAATAGATGTTACAATTAGATTGAATGAAGGATATTCGCTACACAAAAAGGCAGAGAGATAGCGAGGATGCATCTTGTTAGCTCACCTTGTCCACGAATGCGCCTATGATATAAACCGAGTCTGGATCATATTCTTGCAGATTTACCTTACAGTGTGGCGTGAGATACACCAACTGATTCTTTGGAAATATGTCTAAGTAAGATTGCGACGTTACTGTCACTGGAAAATCGTCGTTCAACAAGGTAGGTATGTTCTGATGGAGATGCTGCTTGAGCAAACCGTCTTTGTTAAAATTGCAAAAATAAAAATACATAGGATTGGGATGGTTGCGATTGTTGGCAAACGCCAGACACATCTGCTTGGCGCAATTGTGTATCTCGCGCTGTTGCATGTCGTTCTCGTAGCTGCAATCAAACACTATCTTCGGCTCGTACATCATACACTGAAGTAACTTGCCGTTGTAGACACGGTTCATCGTCGTCTCATATATACGTAGAAATAACGAATTATCTTTCAGCCCGTATTTTATTTCAGCAGTGTCCTCGGGAACCAGCGCCCCAGCTTCTTTCTTAGCGAGGAACTCCGCCTTCCTCAACTCCTTCTTCGCCTTCATATTTTCAAATGATTTTTCATTAGTCCACAAAAACGCCAAATACTTTCTGTACAACGGAAGAAAAAGAAATCAAAGTTAATTCAAAATTGGAAATAATTTCTGATAAAGAAGAAAAGAAGTAGGCAACGGAATACTGACTTTCTCCTTGTTTTGCTCATCGTGTTTAACAACTGTAGCCAGTCCTTTGGCTCAAGCTCTTTAGGAACTTTCTCTGCACTGTGTCGCATGACATCTATTTCCAACTCTAATATCTGAAAGCGCTTGTGGTTCTCGGGATTAGACAGAAATTCGTCCAACTTCTGCCTTTCCAGCTTTTGCTGTCGTTCTCTCAAATCGGTACTCGTTACATTTTGCTCGTTGATTGTATTGACAGTATCGTGACAGTAAAATCGTTTGAGAGCCGTGGCATTCGAATACCCAAGGTTCGCGCGAGAACGAAGCTTAGGCGACAGAACATCCTCGTGGATCGGTTGCACCAGATATTTCCCACGAATCCTAAGTGAGAGTCCTATCAGACATCTTCTCGTGTTACTAAACATTCTATAATTTGATTAGTTAAATTACTGATCTTCTACAGCTCGCTACTTTGTCATAAACCGCAAACGAATTTCTAACCTAATTTATAACCACGCAGTGCACGGAGAATTATTTGGTTACAGTTTCATGAATTTTTGAACGCAGTGGACTAACCGCGCAAAATTTTCGAACACTTTTGGAGGATTTAAGGCCTGTGTTCACGATGCTAAAACCATAGAACTTAAGCCTCGTCTACATAGAAGTCGTAAAGTCGTAGTCGTAAGAATAATCGACTGTGATTGGTTATTTCTTAAGCCCGCTGCAGACGATGCTATTTTTCCTGCTGGATTGCTTGCGATTTAGTAAATTACTATCATTGCACCACTCAGCATTCAGGATTCCTAGTAATTTACTAAATTGCAAGCAATCCAGCAGGAAAAATAGCATCGTCTGCAGCGGGCTTTATGTGTCTGACTGAATTGACCAATTACAGTCCATTATTCTTACGATTACGACTTCTATGTAGACGAGGCTTTAATATATATTTCAGTGTCCAAAACTGATGCCATAGAAAAATATGGTTTTCTTACGGAAATTCATTTTCGTGATATTACTTCCATTCGTTATAAAAAATTAATAATTTTTCAGTGATTTTGCCTTTGAGAGATTTTCCTATCCGTTCCTATTTGTTTGAATTTCCTAGTTAAGTATAATACTGTTCAAATAGACCGCTAGTAATGGCCGCGGCTGTGCGGCGCTCTCTATTGGCTGATCCCAAACTGAAACTTATGATGCGCATTGCATATCACCTTATTTCTTGTCACCATGGGTCGCGGTGAGCCACTGATCGCTCGACGAGCAAGTTCAGCAAGTTGGGTAGACGAAGACCGTTCTCTCGAGGAGATAAAGGTGAGGTGTGCGGCGCTTTCAGGTATAAAACCAGATCCGTACCTTATTACGGCCATATACGAGGAGGGAAACGCCACGTAGCGCTGTATCGGAGCTTTTCCGAAAAGATAACGCGCTTTGTTCACCGATGACTTTACATATACATACGTGCTAATAACGGATGCCATATTGCGTTTCAGCGTTGTGACTCCGGTTGGTGAAGCGGATAGACGGAGAGAGCGGCGGGCAGCATCGACGTTTTAGAATTGTCTAAACCGTTGTGCATCCGTCTCGAACGAACGTGGAACTTCCTACGCGGTCTTCTGCAGTTTTCCTACGATGGACGATTCTGACCGTGAGGGTTGGCGATGCCCCGAGAGGAGCGAAGATTTTCTGCGCACTGTGTAGTCTGAACAATAGGCTCGGTGTATATGTATGTGTATATCAGCGAGTGGATCCTGTGAATTCGTTGGCTGCGACGTTCAGTCGAAAAGGACAAGGGCCTGGGTGGCTGATTACGCGCGCGCGCGCGCGCGCGCACACGCCTGTGTGGTTTTTCGCGAGCCTTCCCCCCCACCCCCGTCCGTGTTGTGCTCGCGATGACGTTGCTGTGAAATCCGTATCCCAATAATATCAATCCCGATGTTGGCCGTAGGATTGCGCCAATGTAACTTTCGTGCTCTTAACGTGGAGGTGAGAACCGGCGGCAACGGCAGCAACGGCGACGTCGGCGGCGGCGGCGGCGGCGGCAACTCGTGGATACCGAAGAAAGCTTCAAACGCGTTTGAAGCTTTCGAGGTCGTATTCATGGAACTATGAACCTGGACTCGTTGTCTTTTACTTTGTCACAGATCAGTTATTTGGTTGCGAATTTGAGTAAGAGAAATTTTGAGGACAGCTGCCAGGAGATATCGGGGGTGAGTATCCGCGCTCCCGTTCCTGCCTTTCTCAGACTCCCTTCAAAGATCGTCCTTACCCTATCTCCTCCTTAAATCGTGCTTTTGGAGAATTCTCTGCGAGCCTCCTCTCACCTCGTCTTCCCGCGCGCTTTCTTAGCCGGTCGAATCTCTCTCGTCGAGAGATCCTGGCCACCGAGTTTTCGTCGGTACACCGCGCTATGTCGAACGTTCGCAAAGCGATGTGTAAGCCGTGGGTGCACCGCGCGTTTGTCGAGATATTTCCAAGGCCTAATCCAGTGTCCATCTGCTCGTCTCCTAACGTATCCTTTTGAATCGCGAGATCTTTTTTTTTCGCGTGTTATTTACCGGTGTAATGTTTACTCTTACCGTACCATCGTAAACAGGAATATTTTTGTTCTCCCGTTTCGATGGTTCGCGTACATAAGTACGTTCTGTCCCTAGTTGCTTCCTCTGTTACCAAAATCCTGTCCAGACTCTTTACAAATCTATTATAAAGATACCGATTAAACGTTGAAGCGTTAAGAGTAAATTATGAAGAGATACATGTAATTGTGTATCGAGATCACTCAAAGGTTAAGTGTGAAACAATGTAAACTAATTCTGATCCCTCTACAGTTGGTGCAGTGGCATGGTCTAGAAGCAGAACGACATTCTTTGCGCTGTCTGATCTCGAGCGTTGACTTTTCCAAGGGCGAGCCGTCAGATTCGAGTGCGAAAGATTATTTCCAAGCCAAGTTGCTGAAGCAAGAGTGCAATAGTTTACTGAGCAAGCCCGCTTTTATATCTACTTTGTGCTTTGCTATAGATAATCCTTTACATCAGCAAAAGGTATTTATGGAAAGTTAGTTGTTACAAAAGAGGCGTAGGAGCAAGTATACTAACTGTTCTGCGTATTTTTCAGACCTTGAATTCCTCGCCAAAGTTTTTTGTCAATTTGAAAAAAACACTCGGCCTGACCTTGGTGCAGGAGGTTGCGTTTGCTATTGCGCTACAGCACTCGGAGAACACTGAAATTCGTGCTCTGGCCTTGGAGCATACCCAGAAGCAACTGCCTGAACTGATAAAGAATTACATAAATTCGGAGACGAGTAACAAGCACCACGAGGGTGGTTTGCACGACTCGTTGCCTCAGGTCCTTCATCTGATACTCGGTCAAGCTCTCCATACTGCCAATCCGTACAGTCTGCTCGTGGAGACGAAAGAAAATTTTCTTAAACACTTACGACGCGACTTTCCCCGCGAGCTGGTGCCAGTGGTGTTGGCGCCATTCCTGTATCCGGAAGACGAAGAAACTCTGCAGTTCAAAATCGAGTTAAACATGGCTGTCACTCAGATGGTAGTCCATTATTTACTTTATCAGTGATTTGTGAGACCGCAATACATTTACGTTTCTCCATTTCAGGATAGCAGCACTCTTGTGGAGTTGATTATGGAATTAGGATATAGTTTTACTAGTAGCATAGAAGAATGTCGATCGGCGTTAACGAGTTTAGGCGCCAGGGAGATATCCCCGGCGTGTATTTCTCGTGTGTTGTCACAAATGGCACGTACCTGTACCAATCTTGACGATGCTGGAGGCCTACAAACGTTCTGGGGCAACTCGACTGCCTCGCAGGACTCTAATAAGGAGAAACCATTGGACAGTACCATTCCCACAACGTGGAACGTTGAAGTGTTCGTTTTAACCTTGAAAGAGATAGTAAGTTTATGTTGCATCTTTAATAATTGGTTAATTTTATATCTATTTGATATAAATAAAATTTTACTTGATGCAGCTGCGATCAATATTGTCTATTTACGTTCTAGCAATCCACATTGTCTTGGAACGATGTAATCTTGAAGTTGGACCATGCAGAGTTCCTTATCAAGGATAGGCAAGGTTTAAACTTGCTGTTTACAGGTCTCAAGCTGGGCCTGCAGCATCAAGGATATCCACCGGACATGTTCCCCGTTGAGCTCTTGTACAGACACTGGGATAATATAGAAGGCCAATTATCCTTGATTCAGCACATCCTTAAGTGCCCGGACATATTTTGCTTCGCTGATTATCCGTATCACTCGGTGACGGTCGATGTACTGAAAGCGGCTCCCGAGGGCGATAGCAAGGAAGGTCAAACGTGGCGGTCGTTGAATATAGTCGAGCTGCTTTTACACATGGCCGATAGAGGCTTGTACAGTCCTGTGCAGGAGATCTTCAAATGGCCGCTCCAGCATTGCCCGGATGTTCTCATTCTGGCGTTATTGCAGATAAATCCACCTTTCACGTTGCTGAGACAGGACATGTTTTCTACACTATTGCCAATCTTTCTCGGCAATCACCCGAATTCCGCTGTGATACTGCATCACGCGTGGCATGCTAATAATCCCAAGACAAAGACACTCATAATGCATGCCATGGCAGATTGGTATACGCGTGGTGATCACGATCAGACCAGATTATCACGAATTTTGGATGTCGCGCAGGACTTGAAGGCACTCTCCGCCTTACTCAATTCGCAATCTTTCCCATTCGTTATTGACCTTGCCTGCCTGGCCTCCCGACGGGAGTATCTGAAACTGGAGAAGTGGTTAACGGACAAGATTAGGGATCACGGAGAAATTTTTGTCACTGCATGCATCAAGTTCCTACAACGACGGTGTCCCCAGGTCATGGGACCTATCAAGGAAGATCCTACAGTTCCAAAGGCCACCCAACTGCCCCAGGAGACACTCACTACAATCTTGGCTTGCTTGCAAGTTTGCACCGGGTATGTTTTTTTTTTTAATTTATGTAGTTTAGTGGCATTTAATTACGTAATAGGAATGACATCTGATATTTCTATTTTCATCGTAGAAACGTCTCGCAAGATCTCTCGGAGGTAATAATGACGATGGTGCAGAATTGCAGTGTAATGCTACAAAGTAAGAGCACTATGAACAGACCACAACCACCGGGAGTGCTGAGGCATCGATTAGACCCGCCATTTAATCCAGCAACTTTGGGAAGCCAAGTATTTTCACTTTCTTTCTCCATATTTATTCTTTTGCTAGTATATATGAAAATTAATTCCTTTATAAATTTCTTTCCTTTTTCTTATTTTTTGCCTTTTTTTTCTTGCCAGATCAAATAGACTTTTCATGTTTGTTACTCAAGTCCTACTTAAAAAGATACGTAACGATGTGTACGTGGTTATTTATACTAGTGTTATTTTTCACAGCTATTTGCCCCAAAGCAAGTGGATTCTCTTGGAAATCTTAATACAAGTCTCGCTTCCATGGCCCTTGGACCTCCGAGCACCTCCACGTTCAATTTGCCTGGTGGCCTAGGTCCTCTGGTCTCAGCGCCTGGATCCCCCTCTCGACTGATGGGACCTTCTCCAAGTCCATTTCCTATGTTGCCGTTATCTTCGCAATTACACTCAGGTCCAGTTGGTACGCAAGGACCGTCTGTCCTCTCCACTGGTACAATAGGTGGACTGGGACGCCTCGGGCCGCCAACTGGAATTGAGAAAAGAATCCAAGAAAGGGAAACCTCCAATTTGTTCCCAGATATGGGGCAAAATGTCTCCAAGGAGATCGAGGATGAAGCTAATAGTTATTTTCAACGTATATACAATCATCCACCACATCCGACTCTGTCGATCGATGAGGTGCTCGATATGCTGAAAAAGTTTCAAGACTCCGGCATCAGACGGGAGAGAGAGGTATTTAACTGTATGCTGCGAAATTTATTCGAAGAATACAGATTTTTCCCTCAGTATCCGGAAAAAGAGTTGCAAATAACAGCACAATTGTTCGGTGGAATCATCGAGAGGGGTCTTGTCAACAGTTACATGACCCTTGGATTAGCGTTACGATTTGTCCTTGATGCGCTTAAAAAACCGGAAGGCTCAAAGATGTATTACTTTGGCATAACGGCTTTGGATCGATTCAAGAGTCGTTTGAAGGAATATCAAACGTACTGCGAGCACGTTAGAACGATTTCACATTTCGCCGAATTCCCGCCTCATTTGGTGGAATATATAGAGTATGGGTTACAAGGACAGGAACCACCGTCGAGGCCGCAGGGTCCAAAAACTCTAGCGGCAATGCTGGCTCCAGTTACAACCCCGTACAAAACCATGACTACAACTACCATTACAACCAGCACTACGCAAGCAAAACCGTCTACGACCCCGACTACGACGACTCTTTCGGCTAGAGTAAGTTCCGTGAGAGAAATTCTCGAGATCTTCTTTGCTTCAGAATTTTATTCCACATGTATTTATTCCCGCAGCCCTCTATGCCCTCAGTTGCTAATGCGACTAATATCGATACGCTGCTCGTGGCGACGGACAAAGAGGAAAAAATTACGACACCGCCGGAAGCCTTGCAGGACAAAACTGCTTTCATCTTCAATAATCTCAGCCAGCTGAATTTGCAACAGAAGTGTGACGAGATCCGCGAAATCGTCACGGAGGAATACTGGCCGTGGATGGCACAGTATCTAGTGATGAAACGTGCCAGCATAGAACTGAACTTTCATGCTCTGTACTCGAACTTTCTGGATTGCATAAAATTACCCGAAGTGAATAAAATGGTCACGAGAGAAACGTTTCGAAATATCAAGGTGAATGGGTGAAGATCTTTGTCGAACGCTTTCTTTTAGATAATTCTTTTATTTATATACGTTTTATTTTATTTCAGGTTCTCTTACGAAGCGATAAAGGAATAGCTAACTTTTCTGATCGATCGCTGTTGAAAAACCTCGGACACTGGCTCGGAATGCTAACACTTGGTAGAAATAAGCCTATTTTACAGGTACAGTAATTATACATATTGTATGAGAGTGTGTTCGGTTTCATGCATCATGCGTGAAACGGAATGCATCTTATGAATTTTGTCACATTTTAATTATTTTACAGATAGATATAGATCTAAAAAGCTTACTCGTGGAAGCATATCACAAAGGCCAGCAAGAACTTCTCTACGTAGTGCCATTTGTTGCAAAAGTACTTGAGAGTTGTGCGAAAAGTCGTGTCTTCCGGCCACCCAATCCGTGGACTATGGCAATTATGAACGTTCTAGCCGAACTACATCAGGAGCCTGATTTGAAATTGAATTTAAAGTTCGAGATAGAAGTACTTTGCAAGAATCTGAGCATTGACGTAGGGGTAAGTGTGCTACGTTTGTTCTGTTTTAACGACACAATGTACTTTGCTGCTTAATAAAACAGAGTTTTTGTCTTGCGCAGGAACTAAAGCCAGTCATTTACTTGAAAGACCCTGAGAAATTGCGCAATCTAGAATATCAGTTGTCACATCCGAACAAGAAAGTGGAGACAACTAACAATCAACAACCACCTCAGGGGCCTATAGAGGAATTAGTTGGACCGACAACAAGCGGCACTATCAATCCTCAAACTGCCCCACCCACGAATACGACACCCTCTTTACCGGCTGGTCCACCGGAACCGCGATTCAATTACATGGATATATCTGTAACGGGCATTGCAAATATATCTCAACACATTACTGCCAACAATCAAGTATGGAAAGATTTATTTTTGTCAAGTAGATTGCGAGGAATAATACAAATCAAATAAAGAACCGAGAACGCTAATTTTTTGGTCCGAGCAAAAGATGGTAGCACAATAATTAAATATCTAATATATGAATTCAGGAATAATACATATTGTAAAGTGCATTTTACATACAGTTGGGGTAGAATTAAATTAATCTTATGCATTGCGATATGGATAAACTGTACATGGTATATTTGTGGATTTTAGTTACCTCTATTCCAAACGCATCCTCATATGAAACAATTCATTCGCCCGGCGGTTGAAAGAGCAATTCAGGAGTGGATCCATCCTGTTGTAGATCGGTCTATTAAAATTGCTCTTACAACCAGCGAGCAAATTGTGAGGAAAGATTTTGCCTTGGATCCGGAAGAGGTGCGAATGCGTACAGCTGCACGTCACATGGCGCGTAATCTGACCGCCGGTATGGCTATGATTACGTGCCGCGATCAGGTAAGGGCCTGAGAAAAATGACTGTCTTGTATTCTTAAGTCACAAGACAGTTATTGTGCGTTACTTTAAGACAAAGATATAAAATATTGTCTTGAGAGTACAAGACAGCCATTTTGCTCAGGCCCCAAGTTACACGAGATATTGTTGTAAATTTATAAAAATCTCCACTGGAGAAGGTAGAAAATTTCAGACGCGAAAAAAATTATCTAAATGATTGTATATAGTAAAATCTCTATTTGTAAGAAAACCGTAAGTGATCCTGAAATAATCTTGAACAATGAGTCATTTCAAATTTGGATTTAGATCTCTAGATATTTTAATAAAATGAAATAACTCATTTTCGAAGAAATTTTTGTACATAAAAATTAAATCTATGATGCTGTTTAACCGTCTATTAATTTTTTTTATTTGTTACATATAGATCCTGGCATCGATTAGCACGAATTTAAAACAGGCCTTTCTCGCGGCGTTAGTCAGTCCGACTCAGCAGCAGAAGGAACTAGTCGAACAAGCGGCAAGTGTAGTCGCTGCCGATAACATGGAACTCGCGTGTGCGTTTGTACAAAAGACCGCTATTGAAAAGGCAATACCCGAAATGGACAAACGGCTGATGAATGAAATTGAGCTGCGAAAACTCGCCCGACAAGAAGGGAGAAGATACTGCGATCCTCTTGCCAAGTATCAAGCCGAGAGGATGCCGGAACAGATAAGGCTGAAAATGGGTGGTGTTACGCCTCAACAAATGGCCGTATATGAGGAGTTTGCGAGAAATATTCCAGGATTTCTCCCGCTCTCCGAACGAGATACGCAAGCGCTCTTTATACCGAAGCCTATTTCTGTAAGGGTCATTAGTTTTTTTTATTCCTTATATTAAACGGATCGGAATGATTCGCGATCTCTCTCTCTGGTTTGGAATTTTTATTTTTCTTCGTGTCCCGAAGGAGGCTCCTCTCACTGCATTCACACCCAACTCAGCGGTGGCAGTCGCTACAGCACAACAAGTAGCCTACGCAACTGTAGCAGTTAGCAACGATGAAGTGGGTGCACTGCTAGAGAAACTTGCGTCGGACGTCGAGGTCCTGTTGGCCGCTATGGTACCTGCGGTACTGCCACAACAGCACGGAATCCTTCACAGTCTCCTGGAATCAATCGTACTCACAAGAAGATCGAGAGACATCAATGCGGCAATGACATTGTTAAAGAAAGTCAGTTACGCGAGTAAATCTTGTAATTCAATCAAATAAATTCACGAACAGGACTGACCAGCGAGGATATGTTTCAGGCTGTTGAAGGTTTGCTGGACGGGCCCATATTCAACAGTGGCGTCATGGAGACCGAGAGTTTAACACAACGCTACAAAGATTTGCACCTACGGATCTTGAAGTGTCTTCAGGATCCACGTGCATACGGTATGCAATGGACCAACAAGCACGTGACTCGTTGTCTAATCGAATGCCGGGAAGAATACCGGTATAATTTCGACGCCGTGGACGCCCTCATAAGGTACGATTATTAAACCGTGTCCCTTGAGGGAATTTTTGGAAGGCATTGCTAACTACGAATGGTATTACTTTGCAGATCTCACCTGATTAGTCTTCCGCAGTACGACTTGGCTATAGCGCAAGCTGTAGAGTCGGGAAATGTCATGGCAACATTATTTGCTATGCAGTTGGTTCAACTTTATTTGATTGACGAGAGGCAGGCAACTCATGTCACCGAAACTGATTTATTCCACACTATTGAGATATTGGCTCGAATGTCACATCACCGCTCCTTACCGGAAGGGTATTGTTATATACATATATATAAATATATATACATACATATACAGGGTGTCCCGATTTAATGTCCCACCCCAAATAACTTTTTATTTTTGATCGCAGAAAAAAACGTTTCAGACAAAAGTTAATGTTCATATTAATTAGTAGAATAAGCTAGTATAATAAACAATAGGGGGTTCCATTAAAAAAATTGAAGGTGACTTTTACGTAATCTTCAAGCAACTCGTCAAGGTCAAACTAATGGCACCATCTTAAGTCCCCCTTCGAACCAAACAACTTTTGTCTGAAACATTTTTTTCTGCGATCAAAAATTAAGTTATTTGGAATGGGACATTAAATTGGGACACCCTGTATATATATTAATTTTCGAAAACATTCGACAAATCGTACAAATAGCATAAACTGATAGTTGCTTTTACAATATGAAATAAGCAAAGTGGGTAAAACTGGTCATTATCATCGAAAAATGGCAGCGATGTCTTTCTTTTTTTTTTTAGACTAGATGTATTCGTTAAGTCATAGTATACTTGTATTTGTTCAAATATATAAGTGTTTCGTGAAACGATACGAAACATTCATGTGTCAAAACATGGGTGTTTTGGATCGTTTCAGAATATCGTTGTATAGATTGACAACCCTTGTGGAATCTCTACGTGCCAATCACGATTCTGGGGTATTGGTAGACAGAGCTCCAGCGGGACCTACGGCGCATATTCATTCCGGAATCCTGCAGGTGAGAGTAAGTAGACTGTTCAGATTATTCAATCCAAGTAGATTATTCCGGCGATATTTTGTACTGTGTCAACGATTATTTATCGACATTTGTCGCAATTATTCAAGATACATGCGTGGAATAATAATTGACTTCCGACTTAATTTTTAATCGGCCTTTGTGCCCGTAAAGAATATTTTCCGATGATTCAGGATGCCGATGAATGTTACTAACGGAATACAATTGACGTTACAGGCTCGCGATTACGAAGCAGACCCACCCGGACTGATGGATAAGACGGAATTTCTATTACGTGAATGGGTGCAGATGCATCACAATCCTCAGTACGCGCGAGATCCCACGAAAGCGTTCAGTATATTCGTTCATCAAATGAATATCCACGGCATCTTGAAGACCGACGATCTCATCACAAGATTCTTCAAGCTGAGTACACAGATGTGCGTCGACCTTTGCTATCGGACTTTAACAGAAACTGGATTGGCCCCCTCGCACATCCGCGCGAAATGTTTTCACTCCTTGGATGCATTTGTACGACTCGTCGCATTGCTGGTGAAGCACTCGGGCGATGCTACTAACACCCATACCAAGATCAATCTTTTGAACAAGGTGCTCGGCATCGTGGCTGGTGTGTTGTTACAGGACCACGAGTTACGCGGCGCAGAATTCCAACAATTGCCGTACCACAGGATCTTCATTATGCTCTTCTTGGAGTTGTGTGCGCCGGAGCCAGTTCTTGAAGCTGTAAATTTTCAAGTTCTGACTGCATTTTGCCACACTTTGCACATTCTGAGACCAGCAAAAGCATCGGGTTTCTGCTACGCCTGGCTGGAGTTGGTTTCCCACCGCGTCTTCATCGGTCGCATGCTGGCTATCACGCCGCAGCAAAAGTGCTGGGGAATGTACGCGCAGCTGCTTATCGATTTATTCAAGTACCTTGCACCATATCTGCGAAATGCGGAGCTGGCGAAGCCTGTGACGAGTTTGTACAAAGGGACATTACGGGTGCTCCTTGTTTTGTTACACGATTTCCCAGAGTTCCTTTGCGATTATCACTATGGGTTTTGCGATGTGATACCACCAAATTGCATACAAATGAGAAACCTGATTTTGAGTGCGTTCCCGAGAAATATGCGTCTACCTGATCCGTTCACGCCTAATCTGAAAGTGGACATGTTACAGGAAATAACTCTCGCTCCGCGTGTTCTCACTAATTTCGCGTCCACGATTCAGCCATTAAACTTCAAGAAAGAGCTCGACTCTTATCTGAAGGCTCGCGCGCCGGTCACCTTCCTGTCCGAGCTCCGCAGCAATTTGCAGGTGTCTCAAGAGGCCGGTGTGCGTTATAACATTCAGTTGATGAATGCTCTGGTGCTCTACGTAGGCACGCAGGCTATACAATTCATACGCAGCAAGGGTCATACTCCTAATATGTCTACCATCGCGCACTCTGCACACATGGATATCTTTCAGAATCTGGCCGTCGACCTGGATACGGAGGGGCGGTATTTGTTCCTGAACGCCATAGCGAATCAGTTACGATATCCTAACAGTCACACGCATTACTTCAGTTGTACAATTCTCTATCTATTCGCTGAAGCAAATACGGAAGCGATACAAGAGCAAATAACAAGGGTTCTTTTGGAAAGACTTATCGTAAACCGACCACACCCGTGGGGATTGCTCATCACCTTTATCGAATTGATCAAGAATCCAACGTATAAATTCTGGTCACACGAATTTGTACATTGTGCGCCTGAAATTGAGAAGTAAGTTTTACTCCCTAATTTTTTTGGGCCCGCTTGCATCAACGTCGCTTAATTTTAACTTTAGCTTAATTCACTCTTTGTCTCTTTCTAAGGGAAACAGAAAAAGACAAAAAGGTGAATTAAGCTAAAGTTAAAGTTAACTCTTTGTTGCGCCATTTTTTCTAGTAAATATTATTTTGTGAAACTTGTTACTAGGAAATTGTTTTGGATGAAACTTGTTACTTGGAGGGTTTTGTGGTCACTGATTATAAATTTAATGTGAAAAATACAAAATTCAGAATGGCATCCGATATGGTGGACGGAATTTCAAAGTTAATTGGATTTGCTTCAAATATGTCACCCGGGAGTTTTTGGTATTATTGATTTTGATTGACTATTATTGAGCGGCAAGTTTCAAGCGAATCTGGTCAATTTTAATCTATATTTACTATAGACATAGTAAATATAGAATGAGACTCATTGAATAAGCTGAAGCTTGTGAAAAGAGAGACAAGATTTAAGAAGACATAGGCCCGGTTTCACCAACGCGAGTTAATCTAATCGGTCGGTTAACTTGACAGGGTGCCAACATAAAACTTCTTTATTAACCAAGAAAATAGGTTAATAAAGAAGTTTTATGTTGGCACCCTGCTAAGTTAACCGACCGATTAGATTAACTCGCGTTGGTGAAACCGGGCCTTACTTTCTCTGTCTTACTGGTTACTCTTACACCATCGTAAAAGAAAAGAATCGTGCCTGCGCAATATTACACGGGCGTGATTCTCCCTTGTCACGATGGTGAGACAGAGAAAGAAAGTCTTCTTAAATCTTCTCTGTCTCTCTCTTGACAAGCTTCAGCTTATTCAATGGGACGCTCAGTCTATATTTACTACGTCTATGATTTTAATTAATTTTGTCGGCCATATTGAATCCGCTATTTTGGATTTTGTATTTTTGACATCGGTTTCGTAATTGGCGATCTTAAAAACCATGATTTAGAAGTATAAGTTATAAGATAAAATTTAACATTTTCCTCATGTATTAGGTTTAAAGCCTGTTTTGTCCAGTTAGTTCTGGTAGTTTGAGCATTTGGTTTTACTTCATCTTCGGTAGGCTGGTGACCTTGCCGTAGGAAACCTCCAACCTGGGCTGCTTTCGCGAGAAGATCAAAATGATGCAGATTAAAATGACCCTGTGCTACGATTGATGAAGTCTGGAATTTCATTGAATAAAATTTCAATGTGACGCTATGAAATTTCAGATTTGACCAATCATAGCACAGGGTCATTTTAATCTGGATCATTTTGATCTTCTCGCGAAAGCAGCCCTGGAGGACTATACACTCCTAAAGTACGTGTGGCAGGATACACTCGTTTGCCACTTACCTTTGAAAGGCGGCATCCGAAAAAACCAGCGGTGTTCGCGGCTGGATTTGAACTCGGATCTTTTCGTTCATTTATTTACTAAGCAGCGCGCATTTCTCTGCGCCACGCTCGTCAAAATTTTACATAAACAAATTAATTCTCTAAAATAAAACAATATTTCGACATATATTTATTAATAACTAATTATTTATTTAAGATATAGCTCTAAAAGTTGATTTATTAGTTGGAGGAGTAATCTTCTAGCGGTTCAGTGACACAAAACATGCTAACGAGAGACGTGACAAAATTTGATTTATGAAAAAAATTTATTTGGATGATAGGTTGTTCATGGACACACTACTGCTAATTGTAAGACGGTACAGGAAACGGTTTAATGACGTTGGTGCCACCGGGCATTAGAGATTAAATGCCGAAATCAATTCAGTTTTATATCGAGAGGATACCGGTATATAATTTTATGTAAAAAAACCTATGTTAAAAAGCTTCAATTACATCCAGCATTGAAAGTCAAATATCATTATATTATATCGATGTTGCTTATAATATCAGTATGTTGAATTGAAATTGAAACAGAGATCTTAGCTTTAATATTGACTTCAATTTCCAAGTTTTGCGATAAAAATTGAACAAAATTTACCTACGACCGGTCGTGGCTACTTGAGTAGACAAAACCTGAATCGTAGCATCAAATGGTTCGTTCTTTCAAATTCAATGTTCGTTTATTGTTTCAGGTTGTTCGAATCTGTAGCTAGATCGTGTATGGTGCAGAAACAAGTGCCCACGGAGACGGAGATTCCAGAGTGATAAGAGTGTTTAATTTCTCAACTATCGCTGTGTATACAGTCAAATGAAAGTTCGTGACAGACCATTGGAGAATACTAAAAGTTTTCGTAGGGACGAATGTACTTTATAATTTACCAATGAAATATAAGTTTCAATTAGTGAGGTAATTAGATTGTAGGCTATACTTGTATGACGGCTTCAAGAGTGTATTGATCTATAGTGTATAAGTGCAGAGGTGTGTAATTGTTGTGTTAATATTTTAATAAGAGGGAACGTCGATTATAAGGGGAGCAAAACCTCATACACCTCACTAAACGTGTCTTTCGCGCAATGTATTTCACACACTGTGTATTATATATAAACGATATTGTACACATAAGACACTATAATAAAGTGTATCGTGCTGGAACAAAAGTTCGTGAAAATAACAAAGTGTTCAAGAAAAGATGCAATTACGACGAGCGTTTCTTGCGCGTAAGACTTAATGGAAATCTGTATTCCCGAAAGAGGTATATAAGCATTAGAAGATATTGTACAAGGGACGTATAGATATTGTAGAGAGAAGTATATGCTTAAGAAGTTATTGGCTAAGTATACGATAGGTTTTGAAATCGGCGACATAGCGTAGGACACTAGTATATGTATAAGTATGATTTTTTTATGTGCAAGTAATTACGTAATGACTCAGGCAACAGGCTCAATGTAATTTATTTACACAATTGTTTGGCCTGGACGAATTTCTACTGCAATTTTTAGATTTTCGATGTAGTCATTTTTGAGTGATACTTATTAAACGATTTATTCAATCTTTTGCTATATATACATCGTTTGTACAGACTTTGAAGCGTTATTTCTAAACGGGAGATTACAAAGACTGTTGGTCGCGCGTAGCGTGATAAGCGTCTCTCTCTTTGTCGGGGAACTTGGTCGGTAAATTCGGACTGTGCAGGTGACACTTCGCAGGGTACATGATACCCGCGACGTTCACTTCGTAATCGCCCGACAATATGTACTCGTTGGTCACCTCCTGCGGTTGGCCTTTCAAGTCGAAATTTTGCACGAACCCAAGACACACCTGTCGAATATCGTTCGATAAATTTATCTCGATAAAAAAAAACTATGGCGACGCTCTTGTAAATTTTTAATTTCTCTTTTTCCTTTAAAAAGCATGCGAGAGAAGCTAAATTTACCTGTTTTTTGAACGTAAACCCGTAACCCGTGGTCGTCGTCATTCCACAATACTTTCCGTTTCGATAGATAGGCTCGCCACCCCAGCTCCAAGTATCGAACTCGAGGTCGTGATCATTCAACAGTAGTTGTACGTACTTGCGTTTGACTCCTTGCTCGCGCTGCCTTAAAAGAGCATCTCTGCCTATAAAGTCGACTTCCTTCTGCGAAATGAAAGTCTCATACAGATTCGCGCGTAGCAACTTTAAGCTGTTCAATCCTTGAAAGTAGTATTTACATCGAATTTCACTCTCCACGACCTTCCGCATTCTAAGGGGGTGGTGAAGGTATCCAGATCTTGTCCCCAAAACGCGTAAAACTTCTCAACACGTAACGCTCTCGTCGCGTAATAACCGGCATGTTTCACCCCGTATTTCGCTCCGGCCTCTATCAGTCTTGTGTAAACGTGCAGTGCAAACTGAAATTATGAAATCTGGATGTGGAACGCGCTTTACAAACCACAGAAAATTGTTTTTCATGCCGGTACAACTCGAAAGAATAAGACCGTGCGATAGAGGCTCGAGTCGTTTGGGGCTTTTACCTCGTTTGGAATATACAGGACGTAGCCGAGCTCTCCGGTGTGCGTTAAATTCATTGTACGAATGCCATTGGCAAGTCCGACATCCAATTCCTGATGAAAAAGAGGAGTGAGCGGATGATAACGTAATTTGCATTTTTTAATTCGATTACCTTGAATGTAAAGAACGGGAAGTTTTTTGGATTTAAATCTATGTCCGTCAATTCAGTTAACAGTTTTCTGGTAGCCGGTCCCATTATGCAAATCGCAGTGTACGCCGACGTGACGTCCGACACGGCGACAGAACCGTCCGCCGGTAGATGACGGCGGATCCAGTTCTTGCAACGCGTTTGTTGAATGGTCGGAGCGATCATCATGTAACTGACGAAAGAGTTTCCGAAAGTGGTCATATATTTCTTTAGTGATCCACGTTATTGATGACACAACCAAGAGCGCGGTTCACCAATTCTTAAAATTTTCAAATTCAATCTCTTTAAAAGTCGTCAGAGAAACTCATGGTAACTTTTTTACTTTTTCGTGCAGAATCACATCTTTTCGGTTGTACTATCAATGAACGGACTACTACCACGTGTGCGATGCAGATCTGTCCATCGCGACTTACTGATTCGGTGCGATCCGTGCTAAACTACAGTCATTTTCGTAACCACCACGGTGATTTTGCATACCGGTATGAATAATACTTCCCACGGGCACGTCCACGTCATTTGAGCACAAGTACTGCAACAAATCCACGACTTCCGTGTCGTTGGACTGCAACACAAAAGGCGAGGTGTTGGTACCTTATCGCACGTTCACCAGCAGAGATATATACACGGATAGTTACCCATAAGTCGATTTTGGTGAAGGAGGAATAATCACTGAGACCGATCGCTTCTCTGCAGGCAGCGTATTCTTGCGCGACCGCGTCGAACCAGGGTGGCTTACCGAAGGTATTCGTGTAAGCTATTTTGTATCTCTGGAAACCGTCGGGGAACTCCAGATCTATTGACAATACGCATTTGTAGTACGGAGTGGAACGGAACTCCGAGCTCTGAAGACGGACAGTGACGGTACGTGGAAAAATTACCGCAGTCCTCGTCCGGCTGAAACCAGGACGGTCTCTCGTAGCCCATGACCTGGCCGAAAACGGCGCCCGCGTCTCTGAGCTTCGGATAAATCGGCGACATCCTCAGGTTCCTCCCGGTCTTGAACTCGTGATGCGGATACTGCAGCGCGTAGTGCATCCCAGGCACCTCGCGCACCCGGTCGCGCAGGAACTTGCGATTGTTGTGCAAGCCGAGGAAACGCGAGACATCTAGCTCGTACATATCTAACGAAGTCGAGCCGTTAACTATCAATTCCGCCGTTGCGCGACCGACTCCGCCGGCAGCGGATATTCCGACCTTTGGAACACCATCATCTATATCGTGGGATCCCGGGGTGCCGATGAGATTAAGCGATCTAATTAACTAACCGTTTTCATTCCGGCGGCGATGTAGTAATTACGTATTTCCGGCGCCTCTCCCACGATCCACCTGCAGTCCGGGGAGAACGCCTCGGGCCCGTTGCAGAGCCTCTCCAGAACCGCGTTTCCTAAACTTGGAATTCTGTGCAGCATCTGTTCCAGCAGAATATGAAAGTGATCCCAGTCCTCCGGTAAAAATCGCTTATCCGTGCTCTCTAAAATGAAAACGAAGAACATCCGACACCGGTAATCACATTAAGAATAAATCATCGTCGTGGTTTAAATAGCTCATAGATTAATCTGGTATCAAGTTGGAGCAAAATTAATTTAACATCCGGGAGAATTCTTATTCTAACCAGGAATCATCCCGTCTTCGAACGCTGGTTTTGCGACCGGCTCGAAACCACCGGCCAACAGCCGCCCGTTGTTCTCTCGGAAGTAGATGTAGCCGTCCAAGTCGCGTATAACGGGTACCATCGGATCTAAATTAGCAATAGGCTTAGTGTGTAAATAATAGTGTTCCACCGGATGGAGCGGTACCTGGAAAACGAGCAAGGTGCTATCTTCTTCCGCCAGAGAACTCTTCGCGCTTGACAAACCGGATATGTCGGATACCAACCTTGACGTATGGCTCGCTGAGTTTACCCACGTTCCGTGCCCAAAATCCAGCGCAATTTACAAAGTGCTGGCACTTGACGGTGCCGCGGCTCGTCTCCACCGCTTCTACCTGGCTGTTCTGATTGACGACTCTCGTAACCGCGCAATTCTCGTACACCGTAACACCTGTACAATGAGTACAATGAGAATTTAACTCGACGTTCGCAATGCCCATTTCTATCAATGCAGACTCTAGTAGCATAGTGCATTGGCTAAATATTGGCCCAATACAACCAAATATTGGGCAAATGTTTGGTTAATGCAATAGGGGATCAACTTTGATCTCGGCTTAAATTACTTTTCATCTTTTTCTAGTCTCAGAAATTGGGAAAAGATAAAAGCCTAGTTAAACAGGGATTAAAATCAACAAATTATTAAAATTCGTATAGTTCACATGTGACAAACACAAATTTGAAGGAATAAAGGACAAAGAGCCGCAGATTAAAATTAATCTGCATTGATAGAAAGAAATGGGCACGAGTCAACTTCTGAATATCCTGATCTCTTTAATCGTACGACACCTCTTTGTTGCGCCTCCTGGATCAACGTCAAGCAGATCTGATAGGGATCACCGACGCCATCCCCCGGGATCCACAAACCTCCAATCAGATCCTCGATGTGCAACAGCGGGCACAGATCTCGAATTTCTTCGGGCGAGACCAAGTGACACTCGATATCGCGCGACCTGATGGTAATCAGTGAAATAAAAACAGAAATGTCGGCAGTATCGCAGTACCGTTGTCCGCGGTGAATATTTACACAGATTGCGCCTTCATTCGCCTGAACGAGGTCATGCGATCCCTTGTTCGCGCCAACGAAAGACTGCCGCACTGCTTCCATCCTGTGGAGAGACCCTTCTTCTCCAGCTCCTTGTACAAAGCGATGCTGTCCTGGGTGAGCTTCACTTGAGCCAGGCTGGGCTTGAAGGCTCCTACCAGTCCTGACGCGTGCCACGTCGTCCCACCTCCCAGTCTAGTGAGACATACAAAACATCTTTGCTGCAGCGTAAAAACATCTAGATTTAAATATTTACATCCAATTTCGAGAGTAAATTTGGACAATCGAGCGTTAGCACCCAAAACTCGAGTGTTCTTTCCATAAGGGATCTCAAGTACATGTTGTGAATGCTATGGAAATCATTTTACTGGCTAAGAAGCATTCCAAAAGGTTTTTAAGACTATATGCCGGTCCTGTTTCTTCCACCCAGAAAGGAAAGGGATCAACATACAGTTCCGACTTCTGACAACGACGTAGACACCCAGATTGAAATATTTACACCCAAATTCGAGAGTGAATTCGGACAATTGAGTGTTAACACCCAAAACTTGAGCGTTTTTCTCCACAAGGGACGGCCATAGATGTAAGAGTAGATTCTGAACGAGCCTTGGTGCGCGCACCAGTGCAAGCTTCCGAACGCGCTATAGAATAACACATTTGGAGGTGTTCTCGTGTACCTGCCACTCTCTAGCAAAATAGTCTCCGGCCCCAGTCCTACGAGGGACAAGTGGTAGGCCACGGCGCCCCCCATGACTCCGCCGCCGCATATGACAACTCGCGCCTCCTTGGGGAGCGCATGTTCCTGGTCCTCCGACGCCGCGTCAGTCACTCTCGTCGTCGCCTCTCCCGTTTTGTAACCGCGAGAGACGGTCCTCCTTCCACGCGCCGCGCATCTACTGTACAACAGTTTGGATTGCTTCCACATCTTCCAACCGATTATCGGGCGGCAGCAGGCGAGATTGTCAAGTAAACGCCTCTACTGATCTACGTGGTGTTTCTATAATTGTCCCCGAGCCACGAGGAATACAATAAATACGGTTCTCGCGCAGCCAGACATCCTTGGTGTTGACGACTGTATCAGTCTTGTTGTTGTTGTTGAACACTTCCAAGCTGTGGAGTTATCTCGGACACCTTTACATATAGATCGTCCCTCTTACTATCTTTGTGTCACGTCGATCTTTCCATTTCTGCAACAAATTGATATGTTACGGTCATAACAGCGAAGGCAAATCATCTGCGAACGCGCGTCGACACGACCGCACAGTGCACGCGGCATTCTGCACGGCTGCATCTCGCACTTTCTGCACTCAGGACCAACTTCACTTGTGCGTAGACAAGTTTGTCGAGCGTGCCGATTTGCCGCGGGTTAGAAACGCTAGCGAGTCTCCAGAAATTCTCTAGCCTGCAGCCAATCAATACGCACTGAAAAATTTCTCGCGTAGCAAATCAAGTGTCAATGTCCATTTCTATCAACGCAGATTAATTTTAATGTCGGTTCAACTTGCTCTTTTCTTCTAGTTGTACGAAGATATGAAAGTAAATTAAAGTTTAAAAATTAAAGTTTATCTGCATTGGTAGAAACATTGGTCTTTTTATGTTTTCTTACGTTTGTTTCTGTCAATGTAGATTTACTGTAATTTCACTTTAACTGATCGTCTCTTGTCTCTTTCAAATTCTGGACGTCAATTTTATAGGTGCGCCCAATCATATAGTATGTATGTACATACATACTGCAGGCACAGATTAATAGACAGATCGCCAAAGGCCCGGGTGAAGACGAGACCACTACACACTTTGCCCCTTACCGACAGCGTTGCCCCTAGAAGCGAGTCTGTACTAAATATATCCGATTTTATCGACAAATTTGGCCTTTTGGTGCGAGTCCAGACTAAATTTAAGCCGGGATGGCCGCTCTCAGGCCGGTATTCATAGTCCGTTTTTATATTTAAGATCATCTTAAGTATACTCTTAATGTGTTTTCAACCAATCACAGAGCCGTATTAGCGTCTTAAGACAACACTTAAGATGATACTGAAATAAGAATCGACTACCGGTTTCTCTCTGGTACCGGTGAGTTGAAACGAGCCCGCGAGAGCGCGGCTTTCGTGGCTCCCCCCCGTCATTGCGCACTGCGCACGCAGACTGCGGTGCAGAGTAGGCCGAGAGATGTTTCGATTGACGTGCACTCGCGTCCACGCACGTCATCGTGAAAATAATCGTGCAGTGCGTACCGCGTTGTGTGTAAACTGCTCTTGCGTGTGTCGCTCGTTTGTACGCTAAATTTAGGTAAAAGAGGAACAAAAGGTTCGCTACTTTTTATCTCGCACCTTCATTGACGTTTGCCTGGCAGCAAACACTTTTTCAAAAAAGACAACGACACGTGCGCGAGACTTTCCGACCCACGAATATTCCACGGAGGCGCGCTTTTATTGCGTCTCGCGTGACTCTCGGTTGCAGTTAAAAATTGAAATCGCCCTACGAAGCGATCGCCCCGAGACTTTTGCCCGTGGCCGCTTCCTCGCGGCGGAATGAAATTATTTGTGTTCCTAGATAGCGGCGCTATTTTGAAGTGATTATCGGCCACCGTTTAATGCACAAGGATGCCTTACGTGTGCTATATTTATAGAGAAAATCAATATCTTTAATTTTTCACACGTACACACACATCCAGTGGAGCTTGCAAGGTTTCTCCTGCCGCACGGTATAATCCTGTAAGGTAATCGAGATCGAGAGCGACTTCTGGCGCGCTTACGATCACGCGCGGCACCGTCGCGGTGGAAAGTTCAATAACAGAAAGCCCGACACAAGTTTAAGTATGTAAATACCGTTTAATTATTACGTGAAAAGAAGCTATTCACTGGCCGACAAAGGTATGTACTCGTACAATTGTTAACTCGGGAACGAGAACGACCACGCGCGATACTGTCTCGGTGCGAAGTGCCGGTTTCCTCGCTAACGGCCGATGCCGCGGTTTCCTTCGATGGTTCTCGAAGGATACGCCCGATTTTGTACACGGTTCCTTCGTGTGTCACCGCGGAGCACGATAATCGGAGCAGCGCGCTTTCGGCGCGTGATACCGTGCCCTTGTCGACGCGCCGTAACGCTCGCGTACGATCGGTGGCAGCGGTGCCTTACAATCCTTTCTCATTCAGTACGTGCGCGCGCGACAATAACCTGGGAATTATTTGAATTTTTCAGCAAACGTCCTCTGCGCCGCGTAGACTTTTCGCGAGGGAAAAATGAAAAGCGGCAGCCGGCTGTTAAAGGTACTTCTACAAGCATCGGAGAAGGCGGCCAACATTGCCAGGACCTGCCGGCAAAAGGAGGCCCTCTTTCAGTTGTTGGTGCAGGAGAAGTCCTTGGAAGAGAAAAACCCTCGTTTCTTCCAGGACTTCAAGACGTTGGCCGATGTTCTCATTCAGGAGACCATCAGGCACGACATAGAGATTGAGGTGGGTACAGCGAGATCTCTGAATGCAGAAGTACGGAGCGCCGGCGAAAACAACTTGTCCGAACTGATTAAACTGCAAACTTATCGCCACAGTTTCCAGAGTTGGCCAAGCTAGTGCAGGGCGAGGAAACCAATGTGTTCAGCAACACCATGGGGGAATCTATTATCGTTGAGGTCTGCTCGTGCAGCAAAGACACGACACAGCTACTGACGAAAGTCATGAGCAACGACGCTGTGGCGGCAGAATTGCTCGCTGCCGAGGTCCATAAGGACGTTCAACTTTCAGACGTGCCAATCACGTTAGACTTCCCCAATGATTTCGAGATCAATGTAGACGATCTTGGTATTTGGATAGATCCAATCGGTAGGTAGGCGAGCGCATGACAAAAGTAATAATCCTGGATTACATGTATACGATTGATACTTAGTAAATGTACATTAATTTAGGGCAAGACTGAAAAAAAAGTCGGACAGTATTATGGTAAAAAAACTATGACTCTCTTGTTACTAAGAATCGTAATTGGCCTGTAAACTGAGACGCAACGCTTGTAAGAATTTCTGTTCGTCTTGCAGTTTGATAATGCATGCCTGTGAAGTAATTCGTGGAACGTTTGTAGATTCAACGGCAGATTACATAAGCGCGACGGAGGCAGTGGACGAGCAGACCGGTATACATTTGAGCGGGTTGCGTTGCGTCACTGTCTTAATTGGTGCGTACAAGAAAAGTACGGGAGTACCAGTTTTGGGTGTAGTTAATCAACCTTTTTGCGCCAATGTGGACTCGCAGTAAGTACAAACCTGGAGTGAAACGATAAGCTTGATAATTGTAGAATATATAAGATCTTCACTTTTTATTCTGGGCATCTTTATGTGTTTTCAAACGTGTTTGCCGAGGCTGATTTGCCTTTGTGCTTGCAATATAAACTGCGTACTTTTGTTATCAGAAGAAATGTAAGCCTCATGCTCTCTGCTTCATTACACACTATTGATTGAACAGATGGACAGGAAAGTGTTACTGGGGTTTTCTGAGTGCTGGCATCGCCAAGTCTTCCATAAGTGATACGTGCAGCAACGTCGATAAAATTATTTTGCTCAGCCGCTTCGAAGACGCAGACGTAAAATCGAAGCTGCTAAACAGTGGGTTCAGATTGGTAGAGGTAGCGGGGGCAGGATACAAGATACTGAGCGTTGCTATTGGGCAAGCTGCCGCCTACATCTTGTCGAAAGGTTCCACTTACAAGTGGGACACGTGTGGACCGCAGGCCCTCCTGTCATCGGTCGGCGGAAGTATCATCGAGTTTAAAGAATTTATCGTGAATCCAGATTCGGATAATCTGAGCGTGAACTATTTACCCATCGGCACAAACTTCTCCAATCGCGCAGGCTTGATAGCCTACAGAGATCCTCAAATTCTGGAAACCTTCAAAGGTATTTTAAGCAGATCATCTCGTTAATAGACACGACGAAGATATTTATTAATATATATTCAGTAATAAAACTAATATATTTGTTAATTTGATAAATGGATTATTTGCTAATTGATGTAGCTCTAATCGTTAATTATGTGATATAATAAATTAATACAGTCCAAATATATATATATATAGAGAGAGAGAGAGAGATCGTTTAATATGCATAGAACAGTTATATAATTTGGTTTTACATGTAATACTCGTAAAAATATGACAGTTACATTTGTTATTTATTACTACCTTTATATATCTAGCATACAATATGTATAAAAGTTATGTTAACATATACTACTACTTTATTATTATTACGTTACATGACTGTTCCTGTTTTCGTTTTGTACTCTGTTATCAGGCTTTCTTTAAGTGTATACAAAATATTTGAATATATCTTATACATATATGTTTCTCTTAGCTTTCTTCCGATTCCTCAAAATTCGAGTTGGCAAAGGCATGCTGGTTGTGACAGGTTCAATTTCCTTGAGCAAATTGTCCACGAGAAGACTCGGACAATTCGACCGGTGTATTTTTCTTCCTCGTAGATAAGACGGTCTTCTTTCCTTGCTGTTTCGGTTGACGTTGAGCTGAAACTTCTTCTTCCAACGTGCTATCGTAACCATCATTCTTGAAAGGTTTATATTTGGTTACAGTTTTGTCTCGATTCTCTATAAATTCAGTCATCTCGCGTTCCTTCTGCGCCAAGTTAGTTCTTAGTTCGTCGTTTATATTCCGTGATTATGCATTTTCAACCAGCCGCGTTTCCGCATCCTTCTGTTCCAGAAAATTCAATAGTTTTGCGATTCTTTTCTCCAAATTTTCTAAATGTATTTCCAGTTTTTTTAGATTCTGCTTCTTTTTGGAAAGCTTTTCTTTCGTCCGTGTTAATTTGCCTCTAGCATTGTCCTTTGCGATTGGGGAATTCTTTTCCAATTCTTGATCAATTTCATCAATCTCACACTCGTCGTGTGCAATATTCTGTTTGGAAGCCGCATTGGAGTTAAGCAGAGTCTCTTCTGTAGCCAGTGTTAATTCTTTTTCAGGTGTCTCCTTCGTATTGTTTAGTTGTTCAAGTTTTTTTGCCCTATCGTCCTCAATATCATCAGTCTGAGCAGCTTTTTCTTTTGATAGAGACATTTGTACCTCCGGCGAAGTTGTTACTACAATATCCCAAGTATTTTCTTTCAACTTCTTTTCAGTATTGTTGCGATCCTCATTACTAGTTACATCCACCCGACAACCTGTATCTACTAATGTCTGTTTAGGAAGTGTCTCTTCTGCTGTGGAATTCAAATTATGTGACTTACCTTTTTCAGTTATATTAACGCATTCTTCTGCATTTTCTATGTGGATTGTTTTCATATTTTTGCTGGTCATGTTCAAAATTTCCGACATTGCATCAGTAATCAAGTTTTTCTTTCTAATAATCTCTTGATATTCCTTTGAATGTTTTTGAGTTCGGTTTGCTCTCGTAAAACTTAATTAATGCTAATGTTTTATTCTTCAATTTCTTCTTACAATTATAGGATCTTATCTTTATTTTGATGCTCTCAAGGGTGTTCTAGTTTTCTTTTCTGGAAAATAAATAAAATAGTTCAGCGTGATAGAGGCAACACTTCATATACCTATTTACTGCGATTTGATATATGAGAAGACTAATTAATCACTTGTAATTTATGAATTATTCATTATTACAGAAATCTATGCGAAATTTAAAAGTTTTCAAGTTTAACACTGAATTTGCAGCGAGTTGTTTACAATCCCGTGAGAAATGAAGATAAGGAAGATATGCCTATTAGACAGCTATTAGATAACGCCGTCTAACGGCCCATACAGCACGCATATCTAAAAGACATCTTTAAGACGTCTTTAAGTCGTCTTTTAGCCGTACATATCTAAAATA